TTTTTTTACATGTTTAAAAACAAAGCAAAAAGAGGGCTGGCGTATAGCTCAGAAGAATACTTTTCTAACATGTGGGTGGCTCTAGGTTCAATCTCTAGTACCCCAAAATACCAAAAAAACAGTGATAAATGGATAAAGATTCACTATGTACCCAAGAATGATCTAGTCTCAAGAGTTGGGATTACAGGGACTGGAGAGATGACTCAGTGGTTAAGAACACTGATTGTTCTTACAGAAGACCCAAGTTCGAATCCCAGTACCCACATGGCAACTAACAACTGTCCATAACTCCAGTCCCAGGGGATCCGACAGCCTCCTCTGACCTCTGAGGGCATTGCATGACATGGGTCCACTTACCTACATGCAGGCAATACACACATACACATAAAAAAATAATAAAATTTTTTTTTAAAAAAAGAGTTGGGAGTATAGGTATGTGCTGCTGGGCCTGGCTTTTTCCCCCCTGTGGGTGTGTTACTAGGATCAAACCTAGGGCCTTACCTACCACTGAGTTACATCCCCACCCCACTCTAGACTGTTTATTCTTCTGTCATAGTGAAGTCCTGAACCATGTTGTGAAGATAAATCTTAAATATTTTCCTGTGTGAAATAATGAAGGTCCAGAGTTCACTCGGGGATGGGGGAGGTAGAGTTTCTTGGTGGTAGTTAGTGAGAAAAGAGTGGTGATGGTTGCATTTGTGTGTATGTGTTTTAAAGATTTATTTGTGTGTGTGTGTGTGTGTGTGTGCCTGCATGAGTTTATGCATACCACGTGGGTACAGGTACCCAGAGAGGCCAGGTGTTTGATTTCCTAGAACTGGAGTTACAGACAGTTGTGTGGGAACCAAACCTGGTTTCTCTGCAAGAAGAGCCAAGTGTTCCTAACTCCTGAGCCATCTCTCCAGCCCCAGGAGGTACTTAATATGTTTCCTCTTCTCCCTTAAAAAATAAAAGCCAGTGAATTCACAATGTTCTATATGACCTTGCTTTATTCACTTAATTTTGTAGCTAGATCATTTTATATAGGCATAGGTGTAACTGCTTTTTTGTTTTTGAGACAGTATTGTGACCCAGGCTAGTCTCGAACTATAGCCAGGGATGACCTTTAACTTCCTGTTCTCCTGCCTCCACCTCCCAAGTGCTAGCATTACAGGCATGAGCATCCATATCTAGTTCACAGAGTGGTGGTGCACACCTTTAACCCCAGCACTTGGAAGTAGAGGCGGGTGTATCTCTGTGAGTTCAAGGCCAGCCTGGTCTGCATAGCGAGTTCCAGGCCAGCTGGGGCTACAGGGAGACCCTATCTCAAAAAGACACAAAAAAATGGCAGTGTGCTTTTTCATCATGAGTAGCTTATGACTTATTTTTTAACTTGCCCCCTTTGAAGGACATTAACAGTTTTTCCAATTTTTGCCATTATAGATGAGGAATATTGCAAAAAAATTTGAGCACATGTCTTTTTATAATTGAACAAGTATTTCATCTTGTGTCTTGTAGGATAAATCCCTAAAAGTGGAAAAAGGGGTATGCGTATTACTAATTTGGGAGCGATTTCAAAATGACTTTCCGTACAGGTTGTGCCAGCAGTTTCAGAAACACTGCCTGCATTTAATGAACAAACAGTGAGAGTGACTGCGTGTTAGGCTTCTGCTTACAAGTAGAGCTGTGACTGTTGGTGGGAAGGAGTTGAGTGGCAGAGGTAAACCCGGGTCTTCATCCTGTAGCAGGCTCAACAGCTACTGAGCACCTCACGTGCAGTGAGAAGTGGCTGATGTTAAGGGAGAAGTGGCTGGTTTAGGGAGCGAGAGGTGAGCACTGTGTGTGCATGTAAGTGTGCACATGCATGTGTATGCACGGATTCGTGTGTAGTCCAGAAGACAGTGTCATTGGTTTCTTGGGACAGGGTCTGTCATAGGCCTAGAACTCACCAAATAGACAAGGCTTCTGGCTAGTAAGCCCTAGGGATCAACCTTTGCCTGCCTGCCCAGTACCAAGACTACACGTTACCACCAAACCCACGTTTGGTGGGGGGGTGTTTTTGTTTTTGTTTTTAAATAAGTGGATTCTAGGAGATGAAACTTACGCCTTTTTTAAAAAAATTTTCCTTCTCACAATTTCATAATATAATGTACTCACCCCCACCCTTGTCCCTCTATCCTTTCTCCCTCTCTCCCCACTGAACTTCTTTCCTACAAGTCCTACTTTGATGTCTTTTCTTGTGGCCCACTGCATTGAATTACAGTTGCTCATGTGAGTGTGGCAGGGGACTTTCACTTGAGCAAGGGCAACTTACTAGTGGCTATACCACTGAAGAATCTGACTCCTACTCCCCCCAGTAACCATGAACTGCCTGCAGCTCCTGGGGGAGGGGTTGGGCCTCATGAACTCCTTCCCCTAGGTCCTCACTCTTGCCTGTCAGGCACTTTTCCCCTGACATGCCCAGCTCTGGTTGCACTTCATTTTAAGCTGTTAAATATTAATTTAGACTAGATGTACTTCTGGACTCTTACCATTGCCCTGAACTCTCATGCTTTCCTCTTACTCCAGTTGCCAAGGCTCTGCAGGAGTTTGACCTGGCATTAAGAGGAAAGAAGAAAAGGAAGAAATTTATGAAGGATGCCAAGGAAAAGGGAGAGATGACTGTGAGTGGCTTCCCTTCGGCCTTTGGTCCCATGGAGCACTGGTCTGCTCTGTACTGACCCCTCAGTCTTCCCCCAGGCAGAAGAGCGGTCCCAGTTTGAAATCCTCAAGGCACAGATGTTTGCAGAGCGGTTGGCCAAGAGGAACCGCAGAGCCAAGCGGGCACGGGCAATGCCTGAGGAAGAGCCTGCAGCAGGTCCCGGTAGGGGAATGAATGGGGAGCCCTCCCAGAAACCTGCATGATGGGTGGGGAGAAAGTTGGTGGGATAATGGTAGTAGCTATAGTTTTGGAGTAAGTGGAATGTGCCAGTGCATACAGGTGTCCCTTTATTGGCTTCAAGCTAGGGATTGGGCCTGAGCCTGGGTCCATGGGGCTGCTGTGAGAGTGGCCAGTGATGCTTAGATGAAATGAAGAGCTTTTGGAACATAAACTGACCTTGGAATCACCATCCAGAGCTTCTGGGACTTAACAGCTTCTAACCCATTCTCTGTGTGCAGCCAAGAAACAAAAGCAGAGGAAGAAGTCTGTATTTGATGAAGAACTCACCAACACGAGCAAGAAGGCCCTGAAACAGTATCGAACTGGGTAGGATTTTAAGTGATCTTCAAGCCTTTGGCTGTGCTGAACACTGAAGCTTTTGTTTTCACACTGACTCCTACTTCTACCTAGAGCTTTATAGTGAGGGCTGGTCTCTGTCTCTGTCCTCTGAAGGCTTGTTGTAGACCCCGAGAAAGACAGGAGGAAAGGTGGTAGTGGCACCTCTTCCTGCCTGAGGTGTCACTAATCTCACCATCTCTCAGTCTAGGCAAGTTGACAGTCAAGATTAACTGTTAATACGCAAGAAAGGCCTCTTCCAAGTTAACTTTAAAACAGGCCTGAGCTGGGGGTGGTGGCGCACACCTTTAGTCCCAGCACTCAGGAGGCAGAGGCAGGCAGATCTCTGTGAGTTCAAGGCCAGCCTGGTCTACATAGTGAGTTCCAGGCCAGCTGGGGCTACAGGGAGGGCCTGACTTCCAGAAATGCATACTGTCTTGTAGAAGCCCACAAGGGCCTGGACCCCAAGCACTGAAAACCATATAACTGCATTGCATGCTATCCTGCTGACGCTGTTCTTACTGTGCAGTGGCAGTGGGGTAACATCGTCCACACCCACTCACCTCTCGTGTCTCTCCCACAGCCCTTCCTTCGAAGAAAGGAAACAGTTAGGTCTGTCCCGCCAAAGAAGAGGAGGGAACTTTAAATCTAAGTCCAGGTGATGTTACATTGTGGAAGGGGAGGATTGCCTGAGGGACTGGAGAAGCAAGGAGTCATGGGAGGCAGGGCCACGCCCTCTTTCTGGTCTTAACCCTGCTGATTTTCTTAATAGGTACAAGAGGAAGTGACCCCAGTGGCCTGAAGTTTATGGGGGCAGTTTATATCCCTTCCCTGTGGGAAGTCATCTTGGCTTGGTCTGTTGTTTTTTCTTTGTTTAAACAAACAAAACCTTGAGAAAATCTATCATCTGTGTGTGGTGGTTTTTTTTTTTTGGTCTTTTGGTCTCCTTGTAGCCCCAGCTGTCCTGGAACTATGTAGACCAGGCTGGCCTTGAACTCACAGGGATCCATCCATCTGCCTCTGCCTCCCAAAAGGCGTGCACCACCACACCCGGTTTATCTGTGTGTTTTTTTTACAAGGTTGGGGGTGCGGTTGGGTGTGTTGGTGTCTAGAAACTGGCCTAGGCTGACCTGGAACCTCGTATTTAGGCCTCAAACTTGTGACTCTCCTGCCTCAGGTCTAGATGATTGGCTTGCTTGTGACTATCTTTGTATAAGGTCCCAAATGGAAGAAGTCTGTTTCCTCTCAGCTTGGAAAGTCTAATGGTTCTCCAGTACCACCCTGGACACCAAAGTGTGCTTAGAACCACTCAGCTCACCCAGTTACCAATACAGGACCCTGTTCAGAAAATCAAGGCTCACCTGCATGCTGGGGTGTGGTTCAGACCCAGTCTGCTCATTTAGCAGAAAGATACCTATGCAAGTCTTTAAGTCTAAAAGCCAAGGGCTACATAGGAAGTTCCAGACTAGCCAGGGCTGCAGAGACCCTGTCTCAAAGCCAAGTACAGAACTTTTTTAGGGTATGTACATTGTTAATAAAGATGTCTGGGAGGACTTGGGAAACAGTTCAAGTACATCCTTTGCTATAGGTTTGAGAATTTCTCACCATGGGTAAAAATGACTCACCACTTAACAAAACGGAGGTCTCACTGTAGTCAGCACCTGCCCCCGAATTCTCTGGCCACCCAAGTTGCTACTGAAAGTCAGGGAACAAGACCCAGTGGTAAAGCACTTGCCTAGCATGTCTGAAGGCACAGCAAAAAACATGAATTTTCTCAACTGTTTTTATTAATCAGCTTTATAGGCTAAAGTGCATAGTAAAAACAAAAAAGAAAATGCATACATAAGAAAGGGATTTTTCTGGCCAACATTAGAAAGGACCTGAGATGCCTAAGTCTGTTCTAAGGAACACTGGACAGAGATGCGGATGCAGGCGGCAGGCTGGCTTCTGGCTTGGGGCCGGGGCCTGCAGAAGCTGCTGGCATGCTAACCCTGCCCCAGCAAAGGTTGCAAGGGAGGGTGCTAGGACAAAGGCTCACATGAGGTGCTACTGGCACCAAACCTCTCCTACAGAGGCCAAGAAACCTGCTATCTGAGTGCAAGTTACAGGAAAGGGTGCAGGGGTCACTCAGCCTGGGCCTGCTGTGAAGCCCCCGACAAGGGGCAGTGACTATGTAACTGGGTCAGGGGAGTTGGTGAAGCCTTTGTCACAGGCCTCCGTCCCCTGGAGGGCAGCTGTCCCAGGAGGAGGGTGGGAATTCTTGTGCTCCTTGAAGGGGTAAGCCATTCCGAAAGTTCATTAGAATGAAAGTTAGTCTGCAAATTGGGGCCTGGCATTTAGAATCAGCTGATTCTCTAAGCTCGGACTGTGCCCTGGGATCACTACAGAAGAAACATCTGAACGAGTTAGGGCCCAGACTTCCCCTAGGTAACCCTGGGTGGAAACCCAGATGCCCCAGGGGATCTGCCCATTCACTCGCTGAAAGAGAAGAGAGAACTAGTAACTGCTCTCAGTTTTGGAGGTAAAGTGCATACTCTAGCGCAGGGGTAAATCTAGAATCAAGTGTGGGCAAGCCCTAAAAGTGGATCCTTAAATAGGTGCGGAGACTAAAGGACACTAATAACCAGTTCCTCTGCAAGGGAGCCAATGCAGGCTCTATGGTGGCAGGGGCAAAAGGCAGCGGGGTGCCATCTTTCTACATCATCCTCCGGATCTCCTCAAAGTTCATCAGGTTGTTGGCTGTGTCAGACCAAGCAGGGTGCTGGGCTCCATCCATCTCGGGTGCAAGCTGGTTGCTCCTCTCCAAAGTATGATTTTCACCACCAATCACCTCCTGGCAGTCGGGACAGGTGCCCCTCTGTGTGGCTCCCCCACACTCAGTAATCACATAGATGTGGCCATTAGGGCACTTGAACCAGTGGCCACGAGGAACACCCAAGGCTCTGACAATTTGCACCCGTTCTTCCTCTGAGATGCCCAAGCCAGAGCAGGGAAGGGTTGTTTTCAGAGCCTCCATTTTTTTCTGCACAATCTGTTCATCCTCTTGGGTGAACTTGCATGTTTTCTCAAGGATGTTCTGGATGCTGGAGACTTCCTCTGCTACACTATCTTTCACCTTCTCCGCCATCTTGCAGCGGGTCAGGAGATTCAGCAGGTATGTGAGCCTCTGGATTTCGCTCTGTAGGTCGCTCAGTTCCTGGCTGCTGAAGCTCAGGCGCTTCTTAGCCAGCCACTCATGGACCTGATCAAGTCGAGTCCTCACTCTTTTCTGTTCTGAGTAATGTACCTTTTTCAGGGACCCCTCCAGGTTGGCCAGGTGGTCATAGAAGTTGATGTAATTCTCAACAAGGCCCAGGTCTTTCACTGACAGGCTTTTCTGAGCCAGCTTCTCTTTTAGCATCAGGAAGTCCTCAGGAAGCAGGTGGTGGAAGAGAATCTTACTTTCCAGCAGGGTTTTAAGTTGTTCCTGGCTGGTTGCAATTTCCCCTGCAGAGCCCTGGATCTTTTCCTTAATAATTTCTATCTCTTCTAGCCGCTGTTTGATACTGGTCCCATACCTCAGGTTTTTGCGGATGGGCACCTGACAGATAGGGCAGACCTTCAACCTAATGGCGACTTCGTCATCCTTCTGTTCATTCATGTAGCGATCCAGGGCTTGTACCTCAAAGATGTGGCTACAGTCTTCTAGCTGCACAAAGCGGGCGTCAGGCTCATCCTCAAAGCCGAAGAAGATTTGGGTGACTTCATCGAGGTGGCAGACACGGCACTTCTTGGGGCATGGCTCTCCACACAGACCAATGCAAGGGTGGCCACAAGCCAGCAGCTTAGTACAAGGCACGTAGCATGGGGGGCGGTTGCAGGGCTCTGAGCAGAGTTTGGTGCACTGGTAGTGCTGACAGCGCCAGACACAGGGCTCCACACAGGGGCTGCACAGCTCCCCACACTTCTTCTTGCACTGGCTGTGGACACAGCGATTCTGACAGGTCCGTTGGCAGGGCGGGCACTCACCAATGCATGGCTCCTGGCACTTGTGTGAGCAGATGAGCATGCGCTTGCAGGGCTGTTGACAGCGCTCGTGGAAGCGCCCTTCAAAGCAACTGTGGCAAGAGCCTGGGCAAGGATGACCGCAGTCCAAGATGGTGCCACATTTGGTGGTACACTTGACTGGCAGCCCGTACTTGAGATCCTCTACATTACCACACTTCACCTGTTGGCTGTGCCCGCAGTTGAGTTTCACAGTGACCTTTTCTGTACACAGCCGCACACAATCCTCACCACATGGGTGGCTGCATCTGTGGCCACATCTCAATACCTTGGGGCAAGGCTCCTGACAGCAAAAATCTGACTCTGGCATTGAACAAGGGACCATCTGTTCATGACCACACCTAGGAATGGTTTTAGGCACCTTCACCTGACAAGGCTGACATTCCTGGAAGCAAACAAGGGGGCACCGGTGCCCATCCTGGCAGATGACCTTTTGGCACGGCTTCATGCACTGGAACTCCTTGTGGGAAGAGTCGTAGGGGTGGCAGGCGCGTGTGCACACATGCCCACAGCCCAGCCGGAATTCACAGGGCAGGCTGCAGCCTCCTTCTGGCACTTTTTGGAAGTCAGAAGCTTTGGATACTAAGGTGTGTGTGTCAGGGTGGTTCTGGCAACAGAGCCGGAGCGACTGGCCTATTTCACTGTTCTCTCGGAGGGTGTGGATGATCTTACTCCACAAGGGCACCTTGGCTAGCATCTGCATGTTCCCGATGCAGTACATCCCTTTCTTGGCTCGGGACAAGGCCACACAGATGCGGTTAGGTATCTGGAGGAAGCCCACCTTACCCTCCTGGTTGCTCCGCACTAGTGAGAGGAGGATGATGTCATTCTCTTCCCCTTGGTACTTATCGACCACATGGACCTTGATGCCGGCAAATGTCTTGGCAGGCATGAGTTTGCGCAGGCAGAAGAGCTGCCCGGTGTAGGTGGTAAGGATGGTGATCTGGGAGGGCAGGTACTCCTGGCACAGGAAGTACTTACACAGCTCCACCACAAAGTGAGCCTCATGCTGGTTCTGATGGCTTTTGCCTTCTTGGATCTCCTGTTCAGGAAAGTTATGCTCCACAAAGAAAAGGTTGGAAGAGACCCCCTGAAAAGGAAGACGGCAACACGTCAGAAGTTCCCAGTGACACTTTTTCCTTTTTCAAGTACTGGGGATTGAACCCACTGCCTCATCCATGCTGGCCAGTGCTCTCCTTACTGCTGCACTCCACCTCCAGCCCTCGGCACTCATTTTTCTCATCCTGGTGTCTCATGCACTGGTCACTGACCTTGGAAGGCTCCCTGAGCCCTCCACCTCATAATCTAACTTCTGATATTAGTCACCATGTGCTTAGGGCCACACATGTGCTGATAAGGAGGCAGATGTGCTGAGGGCTCTGCTGTGCTGACTGCTTCACACAGGCACTTCCATACAGTGAGTGGACATAAGGCCAGATCACCATTCTCACTGCATGGAAGCCTACAACACCCACAATTCTTACCTAAGCTGCTCAAAGTTTCACAGCTACAAAATCCCAGAATGGAAACTCAAAATCCCAGGTCAGAATTCTTGATTTCTGTCCTGTTCCTCCCAAGGCCCAGCTGGAAGTTCTAAGCTGGCTCTACTCCTTTCTTGTTTTCTTTAAAGACTTTACTTTCATTATGTGTGTGTGTGCATGGGAATGCGGGTGCCCAATGAGAATAGAAAATGCAGAGGCCAGACTTACAGCTGGTTGTTAGCTGCCCATCATGTGTGCTAGGAACTGAACTTAACAGCCCGTGCTCTTAACTGCTGAGCCATCTCTCCAGGCCCTCTGCTTTCTGAAAGCCTGCTCCTGAGGGAGAGAAGCCTCCTAGGCTGCTGATACCATCAGAAAAGACCAGGTAGGACAGACTGACCTTAATCTTCTCATACTTGAGAACAGAGGGATGGTTCTCCAAATCCTGGTAAATATGTGGAGTCAAAAGGCGGGCAATTTCAGGACGCATGCGGTGCTGAAACAACACGTGTGTCATTAGCAGTGGGGACAAGAAAAAGGACCATTTTTCTGAAGCTATGTTGCCGGTAGGAAACCTACAGGCCTAACATCTGAAGAGCAACTGGAAGGAAGAGCATGAAGCAAACAACTCCTCCATCCGCAGAGCAGGGCATCTCAGTGCTTTAAGACAGGAAAGTACTTCTGACAAGGTCGTTCCTTTTTTTTTTTTTCCTTTTGGTCTTTTTGAGACGGTTTCCCTGTAGCCCCAGCTGGTCTCAAGCTCACTATGTAGACCAGACTGGCCTTGAACTCACAGAGATCCACCGGCCTCTGCCTCCCAAGTGCTGGGATTAAAGGCATGTGCTACCACACCTGACTTGACAAGGTCATTTCTAAACCAGTTCTGTTTTGGGGAAAACTCCCAGGAAACTTCTCCTATGTGTAATAGCAGAGGCCCAGCTTCTCACCTGGTAATTCAGACGGACGAAGGGAATGTTTACTTTCACCAGCCGTTCAAAAAGGGACACCTCAAGGTTGAAGTTCTTGGCCAGATCATACACATTGGCACTGGGGCGCAGCTGAGGAGAAAAACATGGCTGAGGATTCTCTACTGAAAACAACTGTAATCATCTACCCCGCAAATGTTTTCCCAGTGCCTCCTGTGCTAGACCTGGTCTAGGTGCTAACAGGTTAAGGATTAATATTGACAAGGACTATAAAGCGTCAAAGATGGGACAGAGAGCCCAAAATCTGTTAGCTAGGCCTCTGAACAGTGATATATCAGTTGATTGCTGGGCATGGTTGCTCATGCCTTTAATCCCAGCACTTAGGAGGCAAAGGCAGGCAGATCTCTGTGAGTTCGAGGACAACTTGGCCTACATAGTATTGGGCCAGCTGAAAAAAAAAAGCCAAGACATCTCATTTGACAGCAGCAATAAGGAAGCTGCCGGTCCTTCCATCATGTGAAGAGCAAGCTGTGAGCAGAGAGGAATGGGGGCACTGAGCAAGGAGGTAAGCCGGAGAGACAGGGTGAACCCTAACCTTCCTGGCCACTTTCTGTTATTTTATTTTGAGATAGGGTCTTTCTATGCAGTCTAGGCTGTAGACTACTCAAGCAGTTTGATTCAAGGCAGGTGTGGTGGTACACACCGGAAATCCCAACACTTGGGAGGTGGAGGCAGAGGATCAGCAGTTCAAAGTCATCCTCAGCTACAAAGTGACTTTGAGGCCAGTCTGGGCTATATGAGACTCTATCTCAAAAAAAAGCTTGATTTTTTAATATAAAGTCCAATGAGAAACCCCTGGATGGCTTTAACAGGGATATGATCTGACTTACTGGGGGTTTTGTTGGTTTGTTTGAGACAGGACTTGTTGCTGTGCCTGGCTAATTTACTTTTGTCGTCGTTGTTTTTAATATTTTATTTATTATTTTTATTTTATGTGTATGAGTGTATTGCCTGCATGTATGTGAGTGTACCCGTGTCGTATGATGCCACAGAGGTGAGAAGAGGGCTTCAGATTCCCCTGGAACTGGAGTTAAGGACGGTTTGTAGCCACCGTGTGGGTGCTGGGAATCAAACCTGGGTCCTCCGCAAGAACAGTCGGTGCTCTTAACCACTGAGCCATTTCTCCAGCCCTTGTTATTGTTTTTTAATTCACCTTGGCTCCTTTATGGAGGACAGACCAAAGTAGCAAAACTGGAAGGGAGTAGACAAAGCAACTTGCTATTGTAACTGTCCACTTGAAAGCCACAGTGAACTGAGTACAGCACTGCAGTTCTGTAATCCCAGCTACTTGGGAGGCTGAGGCAGAAGGTCACAAGTTTCAGGCCAGTCTGGATTATATGGCAAGACCATGTAAGATAAAAAGGACTGGGAATGTAGCTCCGGGAGAATGCCTGCAAACATGACCCTGGGTGCCTTCTCTAATTGTGGGGCTAAGAAGGAAAAAAGTGAGCACAAAGGCCAGGTGTTCTGTGTATACCACTCCCCAAGGAGGGCAGCCCATCTTCCAGAAGTTCCTGCTTTACCTGCTGGTGGTCTCCAATCAGAATAAGGTGCTGGCAAGCTTTGCTCAACGTGGCAATGGTGTGGGCCTCAAGAACTTCAGCAGCCTCCTCCACAATGACGATCCGAGGCTCCACCTGCTGCAGGATCTGACGGTACTTGGCAGCGCCTTGAGTCAGGAAAGATGAGAGGCATCTTTGAGCTAAGGCAACAGATCTAAATGGCCAGCCCTGCTGTACCTTCCTTTGATGGGTACAGCTAAGCCCTCATGCTCATCCAGGGCTGGGGTGACCATTGAATGGGAGAATAAGCACTGAATGGTCCTGAGCCTTGAGGCTATTGTACCTGGTGGTTGTGAGGGTTTCAAGCTCAGCAGCAGCAATCGGGAGAAACCCATTAAGAGTTCCCAAAATAGGACCAGGTATGGTGGCCACATCTTTAATCCCAGCACTTGGGAGGCAGAGGCAGGTGGATCTCTGTGAGATAGAGGCCAGTCTGGTCTACATAGTGAGTTCCAGGCCAGCTGGGGCTACAAGAAGACCCTGTCTCAGAAAGAGTTCCTAAAATAAGGTCTGCTTCTAGTAGTTTCCATATTGCTTTCCTTTAACCTAATAAAGCAGCTACTTGTACAACCTGGGCATCAAAAGCAAACTTGACTGAACTGAACAGGTCAATTTCCCCATTTTTTAAAAAATATTTTATGTGTATGAGTGCGTTGCCTGCATGTATGTGAGTGCACCCGTGTCATGCAGTGCCATGGAGGTCAGAAGAGGGTTTCGGATTCCCCTGGAACTGGAGTTAAGGATGGTTCATAGCCGCCATGTGGGTGATGGGAATCGAACCTGGGTCCTCTGCAAGAGGAGTCAGTGCTCTTAACCTTGGAGCCATTTCTCCAGCCCCAATTTCCCCACTTTCTTACCTGTGGTTGTCATGCCAACAACCTGGGCATCTTTAAGGATGTGCAGGTCTTCCTGCAGTCTCAGCTCAGCCATTCTCTCAGCGGATGTGCGGTACTGGCGTTCATAGCTGAGAATCTTCCGACGAGTGTCTGCCTGGTACATCTGCAGCCACAGCCTGGAGAATGAAGAGCAGGGAAAGGAAGCCATGTGCGCTCTGAGAAAGTGGTGTGCCATAAATGCACCCTTAATCCCCAAGGAGTTACAGACCAGACAGGGAAACGTAGAGACCCAGAATTACAGAAATCAAGAGTATAAAATGCCCAGTAAAAGATGTGTGGAGTTGTCAGGAGCTTAAGGAAGGGAGTGGGTATGGCAGACAGCAATACCACTGCTATCAAAACCTCCCAATGGTTTTCTGCTACTCCACATAAAAGCAAGAACTGTGGAGAACCAAAGATGTGGCAGGGAGGAACCCAAGGGGGCAAATTCTTTAGCTAGTTGATCATCAGGTGGTGATGCACACCTCTAATTCCAGCACTTGGGAGGCAGAGGTAGGTAGGTCTCTGTGAGTTCAAGACCAGCCTGATCTACATAGTGGGTGCCAAGCCAGCTGGGGCTACAGGGAGACCCTGTCTCAAAACAAAACAAAAATCTATACTTCTCACTTGAGCTTGTGAGGCCCTGCTTAGTTTCATCTGATTTGGGAACTGAAAAGGAATTCTGTGGGAAATGACATAGCCTGGCTAGGCTTAGGCACTGCACTCTTACCTATAAAGCTGCCAGCGAGAATTCAGGTCCAGTTGCCAGACATCCTGGATTGCATTGGCCTCGGCCTCAGTCATGGTGTTCAGTTTTCGAAGTTCAACCTTCACTTTCCTCTTCATTTTCTTTTTCTGGTTGCGCTGGGTCTGCAGACATCAATACCAGGCAAGCCCACATCTGAGCCCAAAACCCCAGACTATAAGCCGAGGGGTTGCCACCTCTGATGAACTTTGTTTCACTCTCCCAACAGCTACTCCAGCAGTGGCTAAACAAGGACTTTGGCCTGCCTGTCTACACTGTCTTTTCACAGGCTATGTGACCATGAGAGTTACTTAACTTCTATGTGCTGCTGCTGTAGGAAGCACCTACACTAGGCCAGCACTAGAGCACTAGTTGTGGCCAAACATATTTGATTATTCTTTTTTTTGGGGGGGGGCTCTTTTTGAGACAGGGTCTTCCTGTAGCCCCAGCTGGCCTAGAACTCACTATGTAGACCAGGCTGGCCTTGAACTCACAGAGATCCACCTGTCTCTGCCTCCCAAATGCTGGGACTAAAGGCGTGTGCCACCATGTATGCTAGATTATTCTTTTTTTTTAATGTAATGACTTAGATACCATTATGACATTTTTGAACAAAGTGTGTTCAAATGGTTATCTGTCCCCCATCTGCCACTTCCCATCTGAACGTATTTTGACTGTCCTGTTTCTCATTTCTAAAATGGATGTGTCATCAACGTAGAGGGGGCGGGGCTCTCAGTGAATGCTACCCACACTAGTTCCTAGCAGCTGGTGTTTAGTACAGGCCTGTTAAAATGGTCTGATGCTCTCACTGCCATTGCTTTTGGTTTTTTCAGAGACATGGTCTTACTATATAGCCCCAGCTGACCTAGAACTGTCTGTGTAGACCAGGCTGGCCTCAAACACAGAGATTGAACGGCCTCTGCCTCCTGAGTGCTGGGATTAAAGGCATGTGCCACCACACCTGTTCTGAATACCCATAACTTTTATACCTTTGGTTTAGGTGCACAGTGGGTACATTAGCCAACTATGAGGATGAAGTGAGGTAACAGAAGAGTCAGATACCTCAAGGTGTGTTTCAGACAAATCTCGCCCTACCTTACCTGGTAGCAATACTGAACTCCTGTTTCCCATTCTGTTGGGGCTTTCAGGGAAAGGAAGTACGTTTACCTCCCACTCTTCTGTAGCTTGCTCCTGTCCAGCTGTAGTTCCATGGCCATACTGGTCTAGCCTCATGGCCAAAAGCATTTTAGCCAACTCCTGGTCTGCCCCATTCTCTTCCTTCTTTCGTCGCCGGGGCCTCACCACCTCTTCCTCCTCAATCACTCGGTCAGCTTGAATCAGGTCAGCTTCCTCTGCTATCTCAATCAGTGAACCCTCTTCTTCTCCTTCTTCTTCTTCTTCCCCTTCTGCCTGGGCTAAGAGAGGGGAGCAAGGATGATGGGGTGGAGACTTTTGAAGCCAAGAGGGTACCTGTAAGAGCTCACACACAGAAGAGTCTCAAGGGGGTTAACCAGCAGTCACCGGGAAGGGAAATTGGGAAGGATAGGAAAATAGGGATGGAGACTTAAGAGTTCCTTCTATACTTTTTCACTGCATGTTTTACAGATTAAAAGTCATATAAGGTGGGCTGGAGAGATGGCTCAGCAGTTAAGTGCACTGGCTACTCTTGCAGGGAACCAGGTTCAGTTCCCAGCACACACGTGGCAGCTAACAACCATCCTTAACTCCAGTTCCAGGGAACCTGATGCCCTCTTCTGGCCTCCTTGGACACTGCACGTCTAGGTGCACTTACATACACACAGGCAAAACACTCATGCACATATAATAAACTTTCAGTCACAAAATAATGACTTTTTTTTTTGAGACAGGGTCTCACTATACAGCCCAAGCTGGCCTGCAACTCCATATGTAGATCAGGCCTACCTCCTGAGTGCTGAGATAAAAGCTATTCACCAACACCGCTGGCTAATAGAAGGCTTTTTAAAGAGTTTTGTAGCTGGGCATGGTGGTACACAAATACACAAGGATAAATACAATGTAATGTAAGTATGCAATTTAAAGTGTAATGAAAGTATATAAAATGAATGCCCAGGAATTTTTGACCCAATTTACTTAAAAATCTACCGTTTTTTTTTTTTTTAATTTAATATGTATGGGTGTATTGCTTTCATGTAGGTAGGTGAACCCATGTTGTGCAATGCTGGTGTCAGATACCCTGAAACTAGAGATACAGCTGGTTGTTAGCTGCCATGTGGGTGCTGGGAATCGAACCCAGGTCCTCTGCAAGAATAGTCAGTGTTCTTAACTGCTGAGCCATCTCTCCAGCCCCTCCTTTCTGTTTTTAAAAAATTACTTTTACTGGGGTCTGGAGAGATGGCTGGGCAGTTACAAACACTGGCTGCTCTTCTGGAGGATAAGAGTTCAGTTCCTAGCACCCACATGGTGGTTCACAAATGCCTGTAACTCCAGCTCCAAGGGACAATGCCCTCTTCTGTACAGACCCACACATATACACATAATTTAAAAACAAGCAGAGGCAGCCAGATCTATGTGAGTTCAAGGCCAGCCTAATCTACATAATGAGTTCCAGGCCAGCTGGGGCTACAGGGAGACCTGTCTCAAAAAGACTGAAAAATAAATAAATAAAATCTTTTTAAAAAGTCTTAGCTAGGCATGGTGGTACCACCTTTAGTTCCAGTACCTGGAAGGCAGAAACAGGTGAATCCCTGTGAGATTGGGACCTTGGGACCAACCTCATCTATATAGTGAGTGCCAAGCCAGCTGGGACTACAGAGAGACACTGTCTAAAAAACAAACAAACAAAACCCCAAAATAGCTGCCTCCAAAGAAATCTAATAACTGTAACTCTAAAAGTCTTTTTTTTTGTCTTTTGAGACAGGGTCTCCCTGTAGCCCCAGCTGTCCTGGAACTCACTATGTAGACCAGGCTGGCCTTGAACTCAAGAGTACTGCCTGCCTCTGTCTCCCAAGTGCTGAGATTAAAGGCGTGCACCACCATACCTGGCAGATTTTTTTTTTAATTTTATTTATTTATTTTTTGTGTGTATGAGTGTATTGCCTGCATATATGTAAGTACACCTGTGTTGTGCAATGCCTGTGGAGATCAGAAGCTAGAGTCAGATTCCCCCGGAACTGGAGTTACAGACAGTTGTTAGCCACCACCTGAGTGCTGGGAATTGAACCCAGGACCTCTGCAAGAGTAGCCAGTGCTTTTTTTTTTTTTTTTTTTTTTTTTTTTTTTTGGGTCTCGTAACCCCAGGCGACCTCGAACTCACATATCCGCTGAATAGCCAGTGCTCTTAACCACTGAGTTATCTCTCCAGCCCCATGACCCTGAACTTCTGATTCTCCTGCTCTACCTCCTGAGTATAGGGATTCCAGGTATCTGACATCATAGCTGGTTTATGGGGTGCTAGGGATGGAACTCAGGGCTTTGTGCATGTAGACAAACACTTTATTCTCTAATTTGTGCTGTGTTTATTCAAAGTCTATGATTTGGGTTGGAGACATGGCTCAGCAGTTAAGACCACTGGCTGCTCTTCCAGAGGACCCGGTCTGGTTCCCAGCACCCATGTAGCAGCTACCAACTGACCGTAACTCCAGTTCCAGGGGATACAATGTCCTCTTGCTGGCCTCTGTCTGCATTGCACAACACAGGTACACTTATATACATGCAGGCAAAACAGTCATACACACAAAATGAAAATAAATATATCAAAAATATTAAAAACAAAGCCTATAATTCATTTTCCTATAAGCTTTTTGCATATTGATACAGCTCTTTGTTAAATGTGGGAAGTGCATTTAAGTCATGCTGTTCTGATTTTTAGCACACTCCACCTGAAGATGTGATTCTTGGTTCACACAAACTTCTTACCTGTGTTCTCAGGTCCCGCTGGAGGAGCACTTTGAGTGAAAGAACCAACACCTAGCCCCAGCCATTCGAGCATCATGGAGTTCTTTGAGTGCTGGAAGTAGACCCAGTCAGTATCCTGAGAGGGAAGATTAGTAGTCATGAGAATTCTATTACAGATGGCAGGAAGGCAGGGTCTCCTTGGAGCAAAAACCCTTCTGGGGTTGGAGAGATGGCTCAGGGGTTAAGAGAGGTTACTCCTCTTCACAGGACCCAGGTTCAGTTCCCAGCACCCATATCAGGCAGCTCACAACTACCTGTAACTCCAGTTCTAGGGATCCACCGCCCTCTGGTCTCTAACCTTAGAGAACACTACATGTATATGGTGTACATAAACTCATGCTGGCACACATAAAAAGTAAATCAAAATAATTATTAAAAAAAAAATTTTCTTTGGGGACTGGGAGTGAATCTCAGTAGTAAAGCACTTCCTCAGCAAGTATGTGAAGTCTTGGGCTCTAACCCCAGCAATGAAAAAATCAAAACCAAAATCCTTACATGTCAGAGGCTGCTGCTGCTGGGTTTGGTGATAGTCTGTACTCATCCCACTTGGGAGGTAGATGCTAAGGGATTGGGAATCAGAAGGTCAGGCTTGGAGATATAGTAAATTGGAATCAGCATGGGCTACAATGGACCCTTGTCTTTAAAAGAAAATTAAATAGCCGGGTGTGGTGGCACATGCCTGTAGTCCCAGCACTTGGAAGGCAGAGGCAGGTGGATCTCTGTGACTTCGAGGCCAGCCTGGTCTACATAGCGAGTTCCAGGACAGATGGGGCTACAGGGAGACCCTGTCTCAAAAAGACAAAAAATAAAATAAGATAAAATATAAAGAATTCTGGGGCTGGAAAGATGGCTCAGTGGTTAAGAGCACCAGCTGCTCTTCTAGAGGACCTGGGTTCAACTGCCAGCATCCACATGGTGGCTAACAACTGTTCATAATTCCAGTTCCAGGGGATCCAATGCCCTCTTCTGACCTCTGTGGGCATTGTATGACACCAGTGCAATTATACACATATAGGCAAATATACTCATACAGATTAAAAAAAACTGAAGTTACAAAGCTAGAATATTTTTTTAGGGGCTAGAGAGATGGCTCAGTGGTTAAGAACACTGGTTGTTCTTGCAGAAGACCTGGGTTTGAATCCCAGCACCCACATGGTAGCTAACAACTGTCCGTAACTCCAGTTCCAGGGGATCCAGCAGCCTCTTCTGTCCTCTGTGGGAATTGCACGACATGGGTGAACCACCTACATGCAGGCAATACATGTATACACATAAAATAAAAATAATAAAATATTCAATTCCCAGCACCCATATAGTGGTTGACAATACTTTGTAACTTTGGTTCCAGGGGATCTAGCACCATCTTCTTGCTTCCACGTGCATTGCATGCATGGGTGCACTTAACATGCATATAAAACATTCACATACAGGAAATAATTTTTTTTTTGTCTTTTTGAGATGCCCTGTAGCCCCAGCTGTCCTGGAACCCACTATGCAGACCAGGCTGGCCTCAACCTCACAGAGATCTGCCTGCCTTTGCCTCCTGAGTGCTGGGACTAAAGGTGTACGTCACCACACCTGGCTATTTTACTATTTTAAATTATGTGTCTATATCTACGGGTGGGTATGTAATGGTGCAGATGCTCCCCTGAAGCTGGAATTACAGGTGATTGTGAGCAGCCTGATGTGGATACTGAGAACAGAACTCAAGTCCTCTGTAAGAGCAGCATGCACTCTTAAGCACTGAGCCATCTCTCAGCCCCCAAAACTGGAACTGTAAATACCATTTACACAGAATGTTAAAATCCAAACTTCCAGTCTCACTTGGCAAAGCCAAGAACTATGGCAACAAGAAGCCTTTGTACTAAATAACAACAAACAGCTGGAGCGGAGCTGTTTCTACCACATCCAGTTGGCCACAGGCCTTTCTCCCAATGCTTCCCACTAGGCTATCTCACTTGCTTACAGAGCCCAACTGCTCTTCTAAGGGGTCTGTAGCCCTGGAAATCACCAGTGGGATGGGAACCACCTCTTCATTAAGTTCCCAGCCAACCACCTTTCAGAGATGGCTAGTGACTTCTAATAGTGTCCTCTGAAGGCAGGCAGTAATTACACATGTGGTTGTCTAGTATCAAACTGGTTCAAAAAGCATTTAGTCAGCAAGCCCCCAAGTCTGTCAACTCACAGGCCAGTGAGACTAGGATGCTGGTTATGATTTTCTTTCTTTTGTAAATATTTTTTTTTTTTTGGTCTTTTTGAGATAGGATTTCTCTATAGCCTCTGCTGGCCTGGAATTTACTATATAGACCAGGCTGGCCTTGAACTCACAGAGATCCACCTGCCTCTACCTCCTGAGTGCTGGGATTAAAGGTGTGTGCCACCACACCCAGCTTTTAAATATTTTTATTTTATGTACATGTTTGTCTGCATGTATGTAAGTGTATTACGTATGTGCAGTACCTGCAGAGGTCAGAAGAGGGCACTGGATCACCTGGAACTGGATTTATAGACTGTTGTTGAACTGCCATATGGGTCCTAGGAATTGAACCTGGGTCCTCTGTAAGAGCAGCCAGTGCTCTTAACCACTGAGCCATCTCTCCTGTCTCAGTTATGATTTTCTTTCACTTGACAAACATTATAGCTGAGAATGTTTTCATAAGCCTTAATTCTAGCACCTGTGAGATGGGGTCAAGAGGATTAGGAGTTAAAGGGCATCCTTAGTTACATAGGAAGTGCAAGGTCACCCTGGCATACATAAGACTGGCTCAACACACAAGCAAACAAACAAAAACCCCAAACAGAAACTAGAAACACTTAAGTCCAGAAATTTACAAATATTAACATATTTATTCAAATAATAATCCTCTAAGAATGAAGTAGATCAGTAAGAAATTGCCTTTATTTTTGTTTGTTTTGGTCTTTGTAGCTCCAGCTGGCCAGGAACTTGCTATGTAGACCAGGCTGGCCTAGACCTCACAGAGATCTGCCTGCCTCTGCCTTCTGAGTGCTGTGACTAAAGGCATGTGCCACCATGCCCAGTTTGTTTTTTTTGTTTTTGGATACAGGGTCTCAATATGCAGCCTAGAACTTACTTTGTAGACCAGGCTGGTGTTGAGCTTGCACTGATCCTCCTGCCTCTGCTTCATGGGTGTTAGGATTATAGGCATATGCCATTGCGCCTAGGGAAATTGCCATTTTTTTTTTCCAGGTCAAATTTATAAATACTAGGATAGCAATTCCATGCTGCTCACTATTTTCCTTGTTTGGTTTTTCTGTTTGTTTTCATGCTGGAGACCAAACCCAGGACCATGCTCTCTTGCTAAATGTTCTATGACTAATCAAAGTTCCCAAGTCCAACAGCATTATTATTATCTGCACTTTAACAGAGGACGCAGGTAGACAGACTTAAGTAACTTGTCAGAGCAAAGCCAAGCCTGGGTGCAAGTCCCTCAGGCTGGCTCCTGACCAGTATGCTCAACTGCTTCTCTTTGTGAGAGGGAACTCTGCACTCTTACAGCAGCATCCTGTCAGCCAGCAGTGAAGGCTCTGAGCTGTGGCCTTGCTGGAGGCTGCCTCCACATGCTCAGAGTCCTCTGGGATGAGCCCTACCTGCATGGGTCCATTCATCAGGCTTTTCCAGTGCTGGGGGAAGATGTACTTCTCCAGGTGCTGTTCCCGAAGGACACCACGCATGGTGCATTCCAGGGTCTGGGCTCCTTCCTGAAGTTCTTGCTCTGACTCCTTCATCTCTGTCACAATCTGCCAATAGAAAGAGGCGATAAAGAAATATTCTCCCCCACACTCTGCCTTTTCCCTGATAGAAAACAAAGAAAGGAAAAGCAGGAAGGAAGAATAAATAAACACATGAGCCAACAAACCAGTTTTCCAAGGTACAGCATGTGGTCTTGAAACCCAAGGATTAGTGTCCAAAGGCCTTACCAATTAGCAAGCAGGGAAAACAAAGAACTCAATGGAAAATGGGCCCAAGACACTGTGGCCTGGCACAGACTTAAGCCTCACAGGAAATTTTCTCCTATTTTCCCCTTTGATAGTAAGAAGTAGAATTTTTCTTCCGTCACTTGTTTTTAAGAGACGAGGTCCTGAACCAAGTGTGGTGCTGCATGCCTTTAATCCCAGCACTTGAGAGGCAGATCTCTGTGAGTTTGAATTTGAGGCCAGCCTGGTCTACATAGCCAGTTCAAGGCAAATCAGAACTACATAGCAAGACCCTGTCTCAAAACACAAACAAAAAGGAGACCGGGTATTGCTACATTGCCGAGGCAGGTCTGAAACTCCTTTAACCATTCCCTCCTGCCTCAGCCTCCCTAGTAGACAGACAGGACTACAGGTTTGTGTCACTACACCCAGATGCAATTCTGATTGGGCACACTGCCCAGCTAAAATGCCACTTCTTTGTCAGTGGGCTGAGTAGGTGACTTTGGAGAAGTAGACTAAAGGTCCTGGTAGAGGCAGGGAGCAGCGTGCCCTTTCTCACCCTTTCTTTGTCTTGGGCTATGACAGCACAGCACTCCCAAAGATTAGCAGAATAAATGCTGAAAGGAAGCTGATCCCTTCAGCACCCCCAGAGGCCTCCCTATCCTCCCAGGGCTGCCTGCCAGAAAGTCACTGCTAGGTTGTGGAGGTCACCCTCAGACACTCCTGCACTGAACTTACGCTCATGTAGGCCCTTCGGAGGTGCATGGGAAGGTTGCGGCGGAACTCCCGCTTGTTCCTCAGCTCCCTGAGGGTGAACTGCTTCAGGACTTCACTGTTGCTCCTTCCACCCACCCGCACAATGCTGGTCTTCTGACACCTGTAGATGCCTGTGGCGCAAATTGGAGGAGCACACAGTTGAGAAGAGCTTTGCTGAGTTTGCTCAGGTGAGAGCTGTGTGTGTTTGGGATCTGATTTCAAATGGTCCCTTATTACCCCACTAAATAGGAAGGCCACAAGAGAGATGTGGGCTCAGAGCAGAAGAGTGTAGTACTTAAGAGCACAGGCTATGGACAGATGGCAAGACAAATTTTGGCTCAAATACTTACTGTACCACATGGGCAAGATATCCAACCAGTGGCTCAGTTTGTGTGTTTTGTACGATTTGGAGACAGTAATCATTTCTTTTTGTTTGTTTGTTTTTGAGACAGGGTCTCCCTGTAGCCCCAGCTGGCCTGGAACACACTGTGTAGACCAGGCTGGCCTTGAACTCAGAGAGATCCTCCTGCCTCTGTCTCCCGAGTGCTGGGATTAAAGGAATGTGCCACCACACCCGGCACCAGTAATAATTTCTTATAGGACTACAGTCAGGATAAATAAAACTAGAACTTTGTAGCTCCTAGCTAGGGCCCAGAAAAAGTAAGCAGTCAGCATATGTAGTCTATCACACACACATAATGACTGCATGCTGCAGACGTGCAAGGTTTGGACAATATAGGAGTCAAAACTGATTTGATTTGGCATTTGTTTTCCTGTCTCATACCCCAACTCATTAAACAATTTATTACAACAGTAGTCAGTATAAATACTCTAAGTACCTGCTGCTATGGCAGCATGGTACAGGACCTAATCTGATCTGCTTGGGATGAGGATCCATTCTTGAGGACCTACTGTTAAATAAAACAAAACTCTAGGAATAAAGACTTATGTAGACTAAAAGAGTGTGCAGAGAAATGGAAAACAAGAATCCAACAAAAGGAAAATCAGATATTTATGTATTCATTAAGGCAATTGGGATTCTGTGACTGACTGATACATTGTGTAAATACAGCAAAAACTCTTGTCCAGTACCAACACTATCAGTGTTGGTAGTCCATGGTAAAGACACATAAAAATATTTTTTTTAAAAAAGAAAGAAGCCCGGCATGGTGGTGCACGCCTTTAATCCCAGTACTCGGGAGGCAGAGGCAGGCGGATCTCTGTGAATTCAAGGCCAGCCTGGTCCACATAGTGAGTTCCAGGACAGCTGGGGCTACAGGGAGACCCTATCTCAAAAAGACCAAAAAAAAAAAAGAGAGAGAGAGAGAGAAAAGAAAGAAGGAAGGAAGGAAGGAAGGGAAAGAAAGAAGGAAGGAAGGAAGGAAGGAAAGAAAGAAAGAAAGAAAGAAAGAAAGAAAGAAAGAAAGAAAGAAAGAAAGAAAGAAGGAAAGGAGAGAGAGGAAGTAGACAACTTGCGGGCAATGAGGAAAGTCAACCAGAGGGATTTAAGGTAAGGTTTGATGAATGAGTTGTCTCCAGCAAGCTAGATGCACTCAAGCTGATAGGAAAGAAGAGAGCAGGAATGCGGCCAGGACAAGAATGCAGGAGCTGAAAGCGATCAGTGCCATGGGGGCTGGGGACAAAAGGGAAGATACAGGACCTGCTGTGCAGTCAGGCCAGGAGGGACGGACTATGGACTTTATTCAAAGACGGGTGTGTGTGTGTGCACCTGTTGTGCAGTCAGGGCAGGAGGCAAGGACTATGGACTTTATTCAAAGACGGGTGGGTGTGTGTGTGTGTGTGTGTGTGTGTGTGTGTGTGGTCTGTCTGTGTCTGTGTGGTGCTGAGGATCCAGCCTTGCAGCATGCTAGGCAAGCACTTTACCGGTGAGCCCCGTTAGAGAACAGTTCTGCCTGATAACATTACCTTCTAGAAACTGGTCCAGAGCATGATTAGTATAACACACGACCAAGATGGGGAACTTCTGGGCACTAATTTGCCAAACAGACTCGTTGGTCAAAAGGGCCTGAACAATTTTTAGACCCACGTAAGTTTTGCCTAGAAAGTAAGGAAGACAGGTTAAAATTTTTCAGACTTTTTTTTTTCAGTTATAAAATTTTATTTACCGCTGGGCATGGTGGCCCACGTCTTTAATCCCAGCACTCAGGAGGCAGAGGCAGGCGGATCTCTGTGAGTTCGAGGCCAGCCTGGTCTACAAAGTGAGTTCCAGGACAGCTGGGGCTACAGAGAGACCCTGTCTCAAACAACAATAAAAATTTTATTTATTAACTTAAAAGGTGAAGAAACTGTGTATCAAATATTACCAAACATATTTATCTGATGTATGCTTACATACAGACAACAAACAGGTTTTTAAAATAATTTATGGAACAGTCCATGTCCATTTAAAAATATTCTTATCAGTTAGATGTAGTAGTATGCACCTGTAATCCCAGCATTTGGGAGGTAGAGGCAGAAGGATTGCTGTGAATTCAAGGCCAGCCTGGGTTACATAGTGAGACTATTTTATAAAACAAATATTATTTCTTCCACAAGAACTCATTGGAAAACAAAAAAGACTTTTATATTGCATAAAAGCTAGATGAAAACTTTTTTTTTTGAGATAGGGTTTCATACATCCCAGACTGGCCTCCAACTTGCTATGTAGCTGAAGATAACCTCATACTCCTGACCTTCCTACTTCTTTCAAAGGCTAGGATTACAGATGTGCACCAGAGTCCGAGTTATGTGCTGCTGGTAACTGACCCCAGGGCTTCATGTCCGCTATGCATGCACTCTACCACTAGGTGCATCCCCAGCCCAAATGGAAACTTCTGATAAAAATTTATTTCATTTTGAACTTTAATGATGAAGACAAAAGGTACAAATGCTCACAGTTCAGTTAAACAGTGTGAACAAAACATGTGGTGCCCCCGCCACACAGGAGCCTCACTTTCTCTCTTACAGCAGGCTGAAGACTTGGGTCTCTGCCTCCTGTAGACTGTGTCCTTGTTTTTCCTCAGGTAACTCTCTGTTGCACATATCACTGACTTAAGGGAGGGGAACTGTAAAGACAAAGGCTGACATCTTCCTGTCTGAGCTGGATTGAGACTTTGCCTCCATACTGAACATCATGATTTGTCTCAAAATTTAGACTTTGTAAAAAAAAGTAACTACCTAGAACAACTAATTTTTACTTATTTACTTATTGAGTCTATGCTGTCCAGGCTTACCTCAAATTCCCAAGTTTTCCTCCTGCCCCAGTCCCCCAAGTGGCTGGACTACAAGTATATACTATAGTGCCTGGCTTAAAATAATTTTGAAAAATTCTTCTTGTTGGCCAGGTGTGGTGCTGCACGCCTTTAATCCCAACACTTGGGAGCTGGAGGCAGAGGCAGGCAGATCTCTGTGAGTTCAAGGCCAGCCTGATCCTACAGGGAGACCCTGTCTCAAAAAGACAAAAAAAAAAAAAGCTGGGTGTGGTGGCGCATGCCTTTAATCCCAGCACTTGGGAGGCAGAGGCTGGTGGATCTCTGGGAGTTCAAGGCCAACCTGGTCTACTTAGTGAGTTCCAGGCCAGCTGGGGCTACAGAGAGACCCTGTCTCAAAAAGACAAAAAAAAAAATCTTGTTGTTGTTTTGAGACAGCATCTCATATAACCCATGCTAGCCTTGAAATGCAGTGAGGCTGGTCTTGAATTCTTTATTTTCCTGCCGCTGCCCCTGAGCCCAGGGTTTAGGTATGTGCCTTTCTACTGGTTGACATCCACATCGTTCCTAATCTTATGTGGGAAATTCTTCAGAAATACTTTTTATATTCCATGGGACTTGTTGTTGTTTTGAGACAGCATCTCATATAACCCATGCTAGCCTTGAAATGCAGTGAGGCTGGTCTTGAATTCTTTATTTTCCTGCCGCTGCCCCTGAGCCCAGGGTTTAGGTATGTGCCTTTCTACTGGTTGACATCCACATCGTTCCTAATCTTATGTGGGAAATTCTTCAGAAATACTTTTTATATTCCATGGGACACCTGCCTTTGTGATGAGAGTAAAATCTCACAGATTTTAACATCAGAGTTTGAGTTAGGGAGTCATTAGTAACTGGCTAAGTTCAAATTTTTATATGTGTCAGACTAAGTCAAAACCTCTCAGTTGGCTGAGGGAACGACACAGGGAAGTCAGTGATTTCAATACAGTACAGTGAGTATGCGTTCTTCCTCGTTTTCTTCAAGTAGTATTTACAGAGCACCTAGCCAGCTGTCAGGCATTGTGTAGGTGCAAGAGACGTAACAACATAACAACTCTTCCCCTTCTTGGACCTTCCAAGTTTGCAGAAGAGAAAGATGACAATCACACAACAATTATAAAATACTAAATGTGGCAAAGGAGAAACACATGGAACTGGAAAACATGTCTGATTCTGGCTAGAGTGAGGCCGGAGAGCCCTCCCTGGGGAAGAGCAGGAAAGAGGGGGATGTGTCGAGGGTGGGCAGACCCCTGCCCAATCCTATAGGTGAGTGAAGGCCAAGGTCCATCTCCAGTAGAGGAGATTAGATAAGTAGACAGGAAGAAATTTCAGAGATAAACATGACCAGAACTAGGTAGTGGTTTGGCTGAGGCAGTAAGCAGGAAAGGCTGAGTCCCAATTGTGAACTTTGGAGGCCTGGCTGGAGACTGATCAGGGAACCTCACCAGGAAGGAGAGTCTCAATAGTTTAGTGTTCACACCTCCCTTCCTTGCTTCCTTCCCTTCCTTACAGGAGGCGCTCTTGGGAATTTCCATCCCAAATGCTCCCTTTGCTCCTCCTCCCACACTTACAGACAGGCCCTTTACATGTGGGTACATGTATGTGAGCATGTGTGCATATGTACGTGAGTGTGCACATACATGTGAGTGTATGCATGTGTTTGTGCGCTCCTAGGCTGAAATGATTACTGAACTTGGAACTGGAGTGTTCTAATTCAAGTGATAACAGGAAAAGAAATTGTAGCATGTATATTTTTATAAATAAACAGCTCCTGTAAGTATAAATCATTAAAAAGAAAGAATCCAACATAAACACAGGGAAAGACATGAAAAGACAATCCACAGAAGCACAAATATAAACAGCTAATAAATGCAGAAAGGATGTTTGACGCTTTGCTTTTTGAGATGGTCTCACCCTGTAGCCCAGGCTGGGCTGACACCCATGTAGCCTAGGTTCACCTCAAACTCTAGGTGTTCATTCCTCTTGCCTCAGCATCCCAAATGCTGGGATTACAGGTGTAAATCATTCCTTCTGCTTTTAATTCTTTTTCTTTTGTTTTTTTGAAGATTTATTTTATTTTATTTTAAATTATGTGTTTCTGTGTGTCTGGTGGGAGGGGGGGAAATGCAGGTGCCGGGTGGAGGCTGGAGGCGTCAGATCCCCCTTGCAGCTGGAGTTACAGGTGGTTGTAAGGCACCAGACAGGTACTGGGAACTGAACTTGAGTCCTCTGCAAGAACAGTAAGTGCTCTTAACCACTGAGCCACCTCTCCAGCTCCTCAATAATTTAAGAACTATAAATGAGTCATTGTGATATACACTGACAGAAGACAGTCTGGCAATACTTTATCTATTAAGATTATCAGTGGACATTATTCTTGATGCAGCTACAGACTTCTCTGGGATCTATGGTGTGTATGAAATGACCCAGGAACAAAGGAACTGGTTAAACAGCTTGTGATCTGCCCTACAAAGGAAGTATGTGCTGAACTGTTAAGGAATCACCATGAAACAAGGCTCATACACAAATGTGAAAGCATCTCCATGGCAACAGGACGAAAGCAGCTGCAGAACAGTGTTAGAGCCCAGAAGGCTGAACAAAGCGGGGGAACAAGCTAAGTATGCAGGAGTCTGAAGACTCTGTCTATCCCTGGAAGGACAGACACAGGAAAATATCACAACGCTATTTGCTTAAGGAAAGGGACTGCAATGGTAGGAGGGGGAGACAGAGGCTTTAAAAATGGGAACTGTTAGTTATTATTTATTTATTTATTTATTTATTTTTGAGACAGGATCCCCTGTAGCCCCAGTTGACCTGGAACTCACTATTGTAGACCAGGCTGGCCTTGAACTCACAGAGATCCACCTGCCTCTGCCTCCTAAGTCAGCACTCAGGACTAAAGGCGTGCGCCACCACACCCGGCATGAACTGTTATTTCTTAAAACATAATACTAAAATTAATGACTCAAAGATTTTATTTTATTTATTTATTTATTTTTTGAAACAGGGTCTCCCTGTAGCCCCAGCTGTCCTGGAACTCACTATGTAGACCAGGCTGGCCTTGAACTCACAGAGATCCGCCTGCCTCTGCCTCCCAAGTGCTGGGACTACAGGCATGTGCCACCACACCTGGCCGAGTCAAAGATTTTAATATCTCAGATCAACAAAAACTAAAAAGACTAAAGCCATGTGACAACACTGGGAAGGACGGAGGGAGTGGAAGACCCATGCACTCCTTGGAGCATGACAGGTGCAGCCCTCAAAGCATCACTTTAAATTATGCATGCTTTTCCACGATAGGAACATTTCTCATTCAAAACAACTTTCTGTTCTATCACATGAATTTTGTTTTGTTTGTTTGCTGAGGCAGGGATGTGGCCCCAGCTGGTCTCAAAGCTGCTACAAATATGAAAATGGCCTTCCATCGTGATCCTCTTGCCTCCACCTCCCAAGTGCTTGGGTTCCCATGCACACTATGAAAATTTTATTATTATTATTTTTTTTTAATCATGAATTGCCATTATTTTATTAGTGCTTTAAAGATCTCTCCCTGTTTAGTTTTGCATGTTCTTTTGGGAGGTAAATTTAGCAGTATTTGTGTAACTGTTAACAGAAAGATGCTCAAAATGTGTTACATATTGATCAATGAACACATGCATCATCTTATTTTTGTCATTAAATAAAAATTTAAAAGTATATATGTAGTGTACATGTGAACATGCAAATACAGACAGCAAGGATATCTGGAAGGCATGTCACAGTGCCAACTACAGTTGTGGAGAGGCACGTGGGGAGGAGGCGTATGTCCCTGAGAATCAAGCAGTGTATCAGGGAGTACAAGCAGTGTTATCAGCCATGACTCTCCATCTGGGCTGCCTGAGTTCAAATCCCAGGTCTGTCCCTTACCAGATGTGTGAGTATCAACACAGACCTCATACCTCTTAGTAAAGGATAGTTTAACCTTTCTTTGCCTTAGTTTTTCTGTCCATAAAATGATTTTCATTTTACCCAGAAGGGCTGTTGTGAGGTGCAGTGAGTTCATATGTATAAAGCATATGAAAGAGCACTATGATTACATATTTGATACAACACAATTTGAAACAACATAAAACTGAACATGTCTTTTGGAAGAGCAAAGATGTGTCTCTGGCTTTGCCCCTAACAGTCTTCTCTGATCTTATGATTTCTGTCCATTACTGTGCTTGGCTATGGTGCCTACTGGGAAATCACTATAAGCAATCACATCATTAACGTAATACTTATGTCATTTCAGGTATCTCTAAATGAGGCATTCTAGAAGCCAGAGCAAAGTCTCCGTTGCCTAGCTCATAAGGCAGTGGTCATATGCTCTGAAAAACTGTCTTACCTGTTCCGGGAGGTCCTTGAATAATAGCCAGTTCCCTTGTGAGAGCAAACTGCAAAGCTTCCATCTGGGAGTCATCCAGCTTCAGGGCTTCTTTGGAGGGCCACTGGCTCAGGTCCAAGACATTAACTCTAGGATGCCGCAAGACCTCGGCAAGCCTCAGAGTTTCCCCAGTGGCTGAGGGATTCTCTATTAAGGGGGTGAAATCGTATCTGCCACCCATGAGCAAGTACCTTGGCTCCCTCACATGGGAGTCACACTCCACGATATTCCTCTGGAAGGGGACATCTTCCTCCTGAACCTCCTGCAGCCCTTCCAGGACGTGCCTGTAGGCCTCGAAGTATGCTGTGGTCTCCACCATGAGGAAGGAGTCAGAGGGCTGGACGTCTGCAAGCAGCTGCTGGCTCTGCTCATTGAAGCACAACTGGACAACTCCTCGGCAGAGATCCTCTTGCTCCCGGTTCGAAACAGTGGCAAAAAGAAACGTCTCAAAGTTGTCCTTGGACATGCACACTAGTGACCCATATAGCAATCTCTTGGAATTCTGCCACCGAACAAACTTGAGTGGTTTTGTGTCAAACTGTACTTTGTACACAATGCCTGATGATGAACACATGGGGGTGATGATCCTGGTGTCAAAGTAGATTCGGATGTCATCAAACTTTCTCTTCCTCAGACACTGGTCCTCAAAACTTTGAAGAAGTTCCAAAATGCCTTCCCGTAGGGGTCGGACAAAATCTTCTCGCAGGAGTCGGAAGTGGGTGTCTAGATAGATGGCGGTACTATCGTACTTCCCAGAAATGATGTTAGGGCGAAGGAAGGGCCTCTCATCCAGGTGCACCTCATTGTAGGTGGGGTATATGGGCATGGTCCTGTAGCTCTCAACCTGGCCTTCTGCCTCAGGCTGCACTAGAGTGTAGGTATCCACTCTCAAAGTGCCCTCTCGCCTCTTTTCCTGCAGATGTTCGATGATGGTCTGCACCTTTTCCAGGTTCTTCTCTGTCTCCTCGTCTATGTCAACCCCGGAAGCTCTCAAAGCATTAAGAGAAGCTGGCAGGAGAGAGATGAGCATGGATGTTTCCTGCACAGAACTGGCAGGGAAGACACTTACAAGGTCCTGGAGAAGGGAGATGATATTACTTATGTGTTCTGGGTACTGGTTTCGAATGTCAGGGATGGGTTCAGTAATCATTCCCACCACATATGCAGGTAGGCAGACTTTGAGGAACTTGGAGTTGTTCAATATGCCCAGCACATGGAGAATGCTCTGGCGGTCTATTTTGGAGCTGCAAGCCTTCCGAAGAACTTGGCAGATGAGTTCAAGGAAGCTGGGTTTCATGGAAGAATGAGAAAGGAGCTCCTTCAGCCCCGAGCTTGTGGCAAGTGTGATGGCCACCTCTGAGGGGTCTTTCTGCAGAAGACTCTCCAGGAACTTATAGCCCAGTTTCTTCGCCTGTTGTGGCTGTTCTACAGGCTTCTGGTGTGGAGTCCGCCACTGCTGGAAGTTGTCACTGGACCATGGAGGCCTGCGGTTCCTCCCCTCCTGGTTGTCATTTCTCCTCCTGGTGTCATTCTCCTGACCATGCCTTTGGTCTCTGGTTTCATCACTGGTATGCCCTTCCTGGTTCCTTCTTCCCTGATGTGGGTTCCTGCCCATGGCCCTGAATCTCTCTTCTCTTTGCCGGAAAGGAACAGAGTGGTTGTTGGCCCTGGGATGCCTTCCAGCATGGTTGGCTCCACCTTGGAGTACACTGGCTGGTGGGTTACTGGTTTGATTTATAGCTCTTGGTGGTACTTCTCCATCTACAGGCCCTAAACACAATGGGAGTACTGGGTAAGCACAGAATTAAGGGTGAGGAAGTTCAATAAGGCAACAATGAGCATGCCTTCATTCTCTAAACAACTAAGCAGCACAAATCTTACTTAGAGATTTTAAAAGTTTCTTACCAGGTTGCATAATGAATTAAAGATAGATCTGTGGAGGCTAAAGAGGTGGATCAGGGATTAAGAGAGCATACCGCTCTTACAGAAGACTAGAGTTTGTCTCCCAGAACCCATGCCAGGCAGCTCACAACTGCCTGTAACTCCAGCTCCAGGGGATCGGACACCTTCTCCTGACCTCAATGGGAACCTGCACTCATGTGCACATACACACAGACACATACATATAATTTTAAACAATATAAATAAATTTTTTAAAGATAAGAGCTGAGGAGTCAGATGTGCAGGCTCACAACTGTTATCCTAGCACTCAAGAGACTGAGATAGAAAAATCATGAATTCAAGGTCAGCCTGGACTATACAGTGATTAGAACCCAGCCTGAGCTACATGGTAAGACCTTGTAAGGGGTAGGGGTGAGGAAGACCTTTGGGTATTGGCAGTGGTAGAACACTTGCCTAGCATGCATGAGACCCTGAGTTCTATCCTCAACACTACAAGAAAAAGAGATTATTAAAAATATTGTCTCTTCAACTGATTACCGCTAGATGAGGAACAGCTGACCCTCCTAAAACAAAGACCTCTAGATAGGCTGACTACATTCACCAGAAGGGAAAGTAGTGGGGAATGGCTTGGGGTGCCGACAACACAGCAGACAGTAGCTGGGATAACAGAGTATAAGGGCTCTGGTTGGGGGAGGGAGGCTACGGGAGGGTGCTACCTGGGAGGTAGGTGTATAAATAAATAAAAAAATAAAGAAAAAAAATAATTCTTCAAAGCATAAAAATTTGCTCCTTAATAATTAGATGTGAAAAACATTACCATTGAAATCTACCTGATGACTTTATATCCATGCTCAGATGCCAAGGAGCTCAGAAAGTAACTGACTGTGACTAGTAATAATCAGATATATAGAGATTAGAAATGCTTGTGCATCTTAGTGTCAATTGTATTAAAAATGAGTTTAAAAAAATGTTGTCTCTTATCTGGGCGTGGTGGGGCATACCTTTAATCCTAGTACTTGGAAGGCAGAGGCAGGCAGATCTCTGTGAGATAGAGGCCAGCTTGGTCTACATAGGAAGTTCCAGGCCAACTGGGGCTACGGGGCGTGGGGGTGGGGACCCTGTCTCAAAATGTCTCAAAAAAAAAATGTCACAGATGTTGAGTGCCTTGTACACATTAATCAATTCATGCAGCATCTTGTTTAACTCTGCAGAAGCTGGGGCTTAAGTTTCAGAGAGTCAAAAAAGATTAGCTGGGCATGGTGGCCCATGCCTTTAATCCTAGCACTCAGGACGCAGAGGCAGGCAGATCTCTGTGAGTTCAAGGTCAGCCTGGTCTACATAATGAGTTTCAGGCCAGCTGGGGCTACAGGAACACCCTGTCTCGAAAATAAATAAAAAAATAATAAATTAGCTCATTGATTCTACTGTTAAGAAATAAAACTCTGAGGTCCAACGACCCCCATAGATACTGAAAAAGCAAAAATAACTCAACAAGGCAGCTTTTACTTTTGCAAAACAGTATGTTGCATCATTTATGCATTGCATCATTTGGATCAAGCAACCATACCCAAGTCAGAAGTTTGACAGATTTTTATCCCTAACGCAAGAAAATTTTGTCTTTTTCTCCTCGGCTAGGGTCTGACATCACAATCAGGTTGGCTACTTTTAAAACGGTCAGCGCAAAGGTGATGAAGGGGAAAGGGCTGGCTGAAAAAGAAGGGGAGGGCTCAGGACCTGGGGCCATCAGGTTTCTGAAGATGCAGCAAGGCTTTTTCATAAGCAAAAGTTTTACTAGTAGAGGTATGTGTATGTAAAAGATTTGAATCCATGGGGCTGGAGAGATGGCTCACTGGTTAAGAACACTGGCTGCTCTTGCAGAGGACCCAGATTCAATTCCCAGCACCCACATGGCAGTTAACAACTGTCCATAATTGTAGTTCCATGAGATTTGATGCCCACTTCTGACCTCCACGGGCATTGCTCCACACTGGTGTATTTACGCAGATGCAGGCATACACATAAAATAAAAACAATAAATAGCTGGGTGTGGTGGCGCACGCCTTTAATCCCAGCACTTGGGAGGCAGAGGCAGGCAGATCTTTGTGAGTTCGTGGCCAGCCTGGTCTACATAGTGAGTTCCAGGACAGCTGGGGCTACAAGGAGACCCTGTCTCAAAAAAGACAAAAACAAAACAAAACAAAAAACAATAAAATATTTTAAAAAAGATTTGAGCTGGGCATGGTGGCACACACCTTTAATCCCAGCACTCTGGAGGCAGAGGCAGGTGGATCACTTGAGTTCAAGGCCAGCCTGGTCTACATAATGAGTTCCAGGCCAACAGGGGGTTCCGGCAGCCGGCAGAGGCAGGTAGATCCTCTGTGAGTTCAAGGCAAGCCTGGTCTACATAGTGAGTTCCAGGCCAGTTGGCACTATAGGGAGACACTGTCTCAAAAAGACCAAAAAATAAATAAAAGATTTGAATCCTTGTTGTAAACAAAAGCTATACAGTCAGAACATGAGTTTCAGAGAGAAACTTGGCTTGGCCACTTCCTTACAGTGTAATTTCTCCATGTCTTAGTGTCTGGGCTGCTGTACATACATGTTCATAAAATGCCAGGTAAATACTGTAAATGTATATCTTGATTTCTCATGCAGACATAAACAGTGGAAAGTAAATTGTTTTAACACATATAAAATGCTTAGAATAGTACCTGATACATGGAAAGCTCTAGTAACTCCTAGTCATCACTAGTAGCAATAATAACAGTATTTTACTGGGATTTTCTTGTTGATTTCTGTGGCTGCTACTTCCGCTGCACAATTACCATAGGCTGTGAGAGACATCAAGTGGGATAAAACCAAGAAGGAAAACACTACCTGACCTTTGCCCAGCATCAGGAAATACAGCCTGAATGGGAAAGGGGAAGGTGGGGCTTCCTTTACCAAGATTTTTATTTTTATTTTTAGCTAATTAATAGATTGTGGAGGAAAATAAAACATGGATATCAAGTTTTGTTACAGAAAATGGAAAAATGAAACTCAAACTTGGATTCAGGAAACTGAAAAACGAAACTCAAGTTTCAGTAGCACAGGATCCTGCATCCTGAACTTCTCAATCACACAGGAAGCCGGGAGGGGATGGCCTTCACCATCATGTGAAGGTTTCCTCAGTCTTCCTTGGTCAGCCATGTATTTCATAGGTGACCTTGTCCAACAGTCTCAAAAGTCCAGTTCTTTTGACTTTCCCTTCCTCTGAAACCAACTCCAAAGCTGACTCAACTTAGCAAGGTGATGCAGAGATTTCAAAACAAACAAAACTGTATACAATGATCTGACAATAAAAGATTATGAAAGCTACAAATGTACTTAATATTTAAGATGATCAGACCATCTCACAACACTAGATGCTAAATGCATTTAGAGAACTTTTTTTTTCCAAGACAGGGTCTCACTCTGTAACCCAGGCTGGCCTCTAAATGTGCATATTTTGTGACAAGGTCTTGCTATGTAGCCTAGGTTGGTCTTGAACTTGTGATTCTCCTTCCTTAGCCTCCCAAATGCTGGGGTTACAGGTGTTTCCAACTAGAGAAAATGTTCTTTTTTCTTTTTGTGAGACAGGGTCTCATGTTGCCCTGGGTGGCTTTCAAATGGCGGTGTAGTTAAAGATGACCCTGAACTTCCAATCTTCCCGCCACTACCTCCTGAATGCTGGGATTATAGGCACCAGCCATCACACCCACTTTTTTGTTTGTTTTAGGTGCTGGGGATAAACCCCAGGGCTTTATGCATGTTAGGCAAGCACTCTACCAATTGAGCTAAATCCCCAACAGAAATGTTATGTTTTATTTAGACGGATTTCTGTAAGAATGAGAATTAAGCAATTTTTTCCTTCTTTTCTTTTTTGGACTGTGTGTACATGCACATGTGGTATGTGTGTGTGTATGGTCGACTTCAATTATCTTCCTTTATCAGTCTCTACCTTTTTTTTTTTTTTTTTTTTTTTCTGGTCTCCCGGTAGCCCCAGCTGTCCTGGAACTATGTAGACCAGGCTGGCCTTGAACTCACAGAGATCTACCTGCCTCTGCTTCCCAAGTGCTGGGATCAAAGGCGTGCGCCACCACACCTGGCCTTTTTGTTTTAATATATGTTTTAAATTTTTTTTTTTTTTGTCTTTTTGAAGCAGAGTTTCCCTGTAGCTCCAGCTGTCCTGGAACTCACTATGTAGACCAGGCTGGCCTTGAACTCAGAGAGATCCGCCTGCCTCTGCCTCCCAAGTGCTGGGACTATAGGCGTACACCACCATGCCCAGCTCATGTTTTAATTTTTTAAAATTATTTTTATGCACGGGTATGCGTGTATTGCCTGCATGTATATAAAATATACCTGTGTTGTGCAATGCCCAAGGAGGACAGAAGAGGCTGTCAGATGCCCTGGAACTGTAGTTATGGACAGTTCTTAGCTGCCATGTGGGTGCTGGGATTCAAAACCAGGTCTTCTGCAAGAACAGTGTTCTTAACCACTGAGCCATCTCTCCAGCTCTGATTTTCATTATTTATTTATTATTTTAAGTTTATGTGTGTATTGCCTGCATGTATGTAAGTGCACGCCTGTCATGCAATGCCCATGGAAGTCAGAAGAGGGCATCAGATCTCTTGGAACTGGAGTTACAGACAATTGTTAGCTGCCAAGTGGGTGCTAGGAATCAAACCTGGGTCCTCTGCAAGAGCAGCCAATGCTCTTAACCGCTGAGCAGCCAATGCTCTTAACCCTGCTGTTGTTTTTAAGGCAGTCTCCCTATAGCCCTAGCTGGCCTGGAACCATGTACAACAGGCTGGTTTCAATCTCACAGAGATCTGCCTACCTCTGCCTGAGTGCTGGGAATAAAGGCATGTGCCACCATGCCCAGCTAAGATTCTTCATCTTTGAAAGAACCAAAAATTGGGGGCTGGAGAGATGGCTTAGCAGTTAAGAACACTAACTGTTCTTACAGAAGACTAGGGTTTGAATCCCAGCACCTACATGGTAGCTAACAACTGTCCGTAACTCCAGTTCCACGGGATCTGACAGCCTCTTCTGTCCTCTGCGGGCATTGCATGACACGGGTGCACTTACCTACATGCAGGCATAACACTCATACACATAAAATAAAAATAATAAATAAAATTTCAAAAAATGCAGCTGGGCATGGTGGCACATGCCTTTAATCCCAGCACTTGGGAGGCAGAGTCAGGCGGATCTCTGTGAGTTCAAGGCCAGCCTGGTCTACAAAGTGAGTTCCAGGACAGCTGGGGCTACAAGGAGACCCTGTCTCAAAAAGACCAAAAAAATTTTTTTTAAAAATGCAAAAAAAGAAAACCAAAAATTGGATAATTTCCCATATTTTTCTTTTTTTTTCTTTTTTTTTTTTGTCTTTTTGAAGCAGGGTCTCCCTATAGACCCAGCTGTCCTGGAACTCACTATGTAGACCAGGCTGGCCTTGACCTCACAGAGATCTGCCTGCCTCTGCCTCCCAAGTGCTGGGATTACAGGTGTGCACCACCATGCCCAGCTCTATTTTTCTTTTTTTAATATACTTTATTATTTTTATGTGTATGCGTGTGTTGCCTACATGTAGATAAGTGCACCCATTGTGCAATGTCCTCGGAGGATAGAAGAGACTATCGGATCCCCTGGAACTAGAGTTACCCAAAGTTGTTAGCTGCCATATGGGTACTGGGATTTGAATCCGAGTCTTCTGCAAGAATGGCCAGAGTTCTTAACCACTGAGCCATCTCTCCAGCCCCAATTTCTCATATTTTTCAACATTCACACAGCCCCCAAAGAAAATCCCAGTTCTTTCTCTTTGCTGCACGGTTAGAACCTAAGTGAGATAAGCAGGAACCTGCTGATGACTCTGGTAAGCTGGAAAGCTATGAGTAAGCAGAGTGATTCCTTCAGAATGGGGCTCTCCATGACCAGGACCTGGGCCTACACTGTTCAGTACAGAGTTAACAGCCATACATGGCTATCAAGCATGTAAAATGTGGCCAATACTTAAGTATTTGAGGGGAAATAAAAATATTATTAAAGGTAATGAAGTATGACAATGAAGTATATTCAATTATAATAAAATGAGAGTATTTTGGATATGATTAACATATTAGACCATTACATTTTATTAAGTATTTTAATTGGCATTCAATTAAAAAAATTAATTTCAGGGGTCAATGATATGGCTCAGTGGGTAAAGGCACTTGCTACCAAGCCTGATACCCTGAGTTTGATCCTCAGAACCCATAGGTGAAAGGAGAAAACCAACTTCCATGGGATGTCCTCACCTCATGCACACACACTCACATACATAATGATATAAAAATTAAATAGAAGATAAATTTCATTTCTTTTATTTTTTTAATGAGACTAGTAAAAATTTAAAATTATGGGTTTTGCCAGGCGTGGTGGCACACGCCTTTAACCCCAGCATTCGAGAGGCAGAGGCAGGCAGATCTCTGTGAGTTCAAGGCCAGCCTGGTCTACATAGTGAATTCCAAGACAGCTGGGGCTACAAGGAGCCCCTCCTCCAAAAAAACCAAAAAAAAAAAAAAAAAAAGTTTTGCTTATATTGTGTTTCTACTGGATAGCACTGCTCCAAACCAAGTTATTTCTGTTACTGACATCCCATCACTGTTTTGTTTTTTACCCCCTGAAATGCCAGGGACCAAACTAAACAGGCAAGTGCTCTACCACCTGGTTTTTGAAAGAAAGTTTCACTACATAGTTCAGGGTGGCTTTGACCTCACTATGTAGTTCAGGCTGGCTTCAAATTCAACCCTCCTGCCTCCATCTGCTGAAGGCTGGAATTACAGGCCTGGAACCGTGGTACCCATTCATCAGCTCTCTGAGGGTGAGTAGGCTATGAATCATTCTCTTTTTTTTTTTGGCGTTTTTGAGAAAGGGTCTCTCTTAGCCCCAGCTGACCTGGAACTCACTATGTAGACCAAGCTGGCCTTGAACTCACAGAAATCTGCCTGCCTCTGCCTCAAGTGCTGGGATTAAAGGCATGTGCTACCATACCTGGCCAAGGAGTCATTCTTTCTTTCTTTATTTTTTTGGTCTTTTTGAGACAAGGTCTCCCTGTAGCCCCAGCTATCCTGGAACTCACTATGTAGACCAGGCTGGCCTTGAACTCAAAGAGATCCACCTGCCTCTGCCTCCTGAGTGCTGGGATTAAAGGTGTGCGCTACCACACCTGGCAAGGAGTCATTCTTTACTGGAAAGATGAAGTTCATATCAGGTGGGTCTGTTCATTCATAGGGAATCGAATTTCATTCTCGTATTACCTAAAATTTCTTTTTTACTAGGTAAGAAACCTTGCTTACCTCTGTGGTTGGGAGGGGGATTCCTGGGCCTGGTTTCCAGATGAGGTCTTCTATCCTCCATGTCTGAGTCCCTAGAAGTCTTCTACAGTCACGTAACTTTCAGTTATCTGTAACTGCACAGGCTGAGAGTTATCAGTGCCCTTCAAACACAGCATCTAGCAGCGAAGACCCAAACACCATTCAGCCAGCTTTTCTGCCTTCACATGCTAATGATATATTAACTAAGAGTTAAACGTACATTTTAATCTCAATACAAGTGCTCAACCTTACGAATGCCCAACTTTAAATCCATAATTTAGGTGATTCCAAGGGATCATATTCCCCCTTCCAGTGACTGCTGTACTTGCTTAATGGCAGAGGGAAGGGCTATCAACTCCAGAAGACTGTTTGGTTGGCCTTTAGCCAAGCTACTTAATCCGTTGCTTAGGTTTCATTTTCCTTTCTTATAAAATTATTTCCAGGGCAAAAGGAGTGCCTTTTTGTTAATCCAAAACCATGTAGTAGCTCTAACAGTGGGGTATGGCTATCATCTCGGCACTGGGGAGAAAGATCAGGAAGTCAAGACCAGCCTTCACTGAGCTTGAGACCAGCATGGGCTATATGAAACCCTGTTTCAAAAACAAACAAATAACCCGTGTACTCACCACTCTACCTGGCATCTGTAAAACACAATACTCTATAGGTTCCAGTCACCAATGGTTTAAAAATTAGTGAGCTATTAGTGCTAGTTCCTCAGCATCAGCTAGCAGTCAGCAAGTCTTTCCTTTACTTGATCTTGATAATTTCTGACACTGGTTAAAGAGGAAGCCCCTTTCAGGGAACTTCTCAATATAACTCATGCATATCATGTGGGCTGGGAGCAGGTGACTCAGTTCTCAGCAAAGGAATTTTTTAGACTGTCCTCACTGAGTTTTAAAATATTCATAGTTGGAAACTGTGAATAGATTTGGCATTATATGAGAGGTGGCTTTTATCAGCATCAGAAAAAGAAGTCCTTTTCTTCCTCTGGGAATATTTTTGCGGAGTCTCTTCCCTCATCTTACCAAACCTTGCTCTCATAGTGCAGGTTTGAAATAGTTTTAGTTTTGCTTTTAATTTTTTTGAGAAGAAAAACTCCTTCCTCATTTTGAAAAATGCTAAAATAGAATGTCAGAAATTTGGGAGCATAAAAAAAGGAAGAAAAGCAAAAAAGAAGTGCTAGAAAAGGCAAGGAAAGAGGGAGGAGCACATCAGCAAAGGGAGTGCTTTGTTCAGAGAGGGCGAGAAGAAAACAAATCAGTGACAGTTACTGTTGTAGGGACAAAAATGAGAGGAGAGAACAGTAATTATCAGGGTGGGATGAAAGCAGATGGGGCAAGAGGTGACAGCTAGTTTGCAGGGTAAGTCCACAGCCTTAGAGAAGTCATGGCACCACTCTTTCCTTAGGGAAACATTACAGGGTCATGAGAAAGCTGGAGAGGTTGGGGGCTTGGAGAGTTGGGGCAGAGCTCAGCTAAGGTGCTTGCAGAAGGGCAGGAGAATTGGAGTAGAAATGGGGAGTCTAGTGTGCTTTGCAGATGGGTTGAAAGGTGAAAGGTGTGAAAGGTGTGGAGGGGTGGCAGGAAGTGGGGACAGAAATGGATCGGATGATTGATAGAGATGGTGAGGCTAGAGACAGAATGACGGCACAGGCATGATACAGGTTATGGGGATGTGGTGGAGAGCCACTGATGAGCTGATGGGGTGCTCAAGAAGGCACTGAGAGGTGACTATGTGCAAGATGGTAGGGACACTGAAGGGAGTATTGGGGTTAATGGTGGCAGGTCAGCTGAGGAGAAGGAAGGAGGATGAGCAGGACTGCTGGGGGCTCAGGAGCTAATAAATACTGAGGGAAGGAGACAGTGACTTCCAGGGGTGATGGAGGCTGCTGAAGAGAGGAGACAGGAACTCTGGAGGTGATAATAGGGTGATGGGAAGGGACAAGGATTCAGGGGTGCTGCGGGCACTGAGGAAAAGGGACACTGAGGGGCATGCTGGAGGTGACTGGGAAACTGAGGGGAGATGCCAGGACTCTGGGGGTGATGATGAGGCTGATGGGAGAGGATTGAGGTTGCTGAGGAGAGAGGACAAGAACTCTGGAAGTGATGGGGAAGCTGACAGGAGGGGACAGGTGATGACGCATTGAGGGGAGGACTCGGGGTTGGGGGCACTAAGAGAAGGAGACGGGGATCTAGGAATGACCGAGTGGTAGCGACAGTAGACAGGAGCTCTGGGGCTGGTAAGAAAATTGGACAGAGACTCTGGGGTTGATGGGGGACACTGAAGGGGAAGGGACAGAGACTCTGGTGTTGATCAGGGCACTGAGGGGAGTGCTGGAGGTGTTGTGGGAAAGGAACAGGAACTCCGGGGTGATGGGGGGACTGAGGAGAGATAGGGACTATGGGGGTGATCAGGGCTGGGGTGATGGGGGACACTGACAACAGAGAACAGGAACTAGGGGTGATGGAGGGGCTGAGGAGAGCAGACAGGGACTCTGAGGGTGAGCAGGGTGCTAAGGGGGCCCTAGGGGTGATGGGGCACTGAAGGGAGGGCCAGGGGCTCTGGGGATAACCAAGTGGTAGTGAGGGTAGATGGGTTCAGGGGGTGGTAAGAAAAGTGGACATACAGTTTGGGGTTGATGGGGGACACTGAAGGGGAAGGGACAGAGACTCTGGTGGACATCAGGGTGCTGAGGGAGTGCTGGAGGTGACGGGGGTGTTGTGAGAAAGGGACAGGGACTCCGGGGTGATGGGGGACACTGACAGCAGGGGACAGGGACTCAGGGTGATGGAGGTGCCGAGGGGAGCAGACAGGGACTCTGGGGGTGATGGGGCGCTGAAGGGAATGGGCAGAGACTAGGGGTGACCTGACACCTGGGCCTAGGCACAGCAGGGGCACCGGCGGACGCCCGGCAGGAGCAGGTGCGGGACGGGGCGGAGGCCACTCACCCGCTCGGGCGCGTCCTCCGGCCGTCACCGGCCCGGCTAGCGCTCCGCTCCGGCCCTGGCAGGTCACGGCCCCGCCCGGCGCCGCGCACTTTCGGTTTTCCGTCCCCGCAACCCTGGGCGGGGCGAGGAGCCGGGTGGGCGGCCCGGAGGAGGAGGAGGCCGCGCAGGACTTAGGAGGCGGTGCCGCGGGCTCCAGAGAGAGGCCGGGCCGAGCTCGCCTGCGCCCCCGCCCTTGGGGCGGGCGGAAGGGCGGTGTCGCCTCAGCCCCCGCGGCGGCTGGGCCAGCGGCTCCCCCGGGAGCGGCTGAGGGGAGGGCGCGGTGGAGGGCGGGCTGATAGCGACGCGGGCGGCCGCAAGCCTCGGCCCGCCCCGGAGCCCGGGAAACACGGCGGGTGGCTCGTGCATGCAAAGCGCGACATGGCGGGCAGGCAGAGCAGCCCTGGAGGCCCAGTGAGGACGGGGCGGGGCTAGACGTGGGCTCGACAACCATTAGAGCGCTACGGGCCGTGCGGCTCCAGGACTACATTTCCCAGGAGGCCCCGCGAACGCAACCGGAAGAGGCGCCTTGGGTCCAGTACGCAGGCGCACCAGTGGCCTTGGCATATATAAGCGAGGTCTGCTGCTGCGCTCATTCTTTCGCTCCTGACCCGCCTTACTGAGCTTCCATCTTCGAGTGCTAAGTCGTTCTGCCGTGGAAACCGTGGTTTACAGATGGTGAGTTGAGGTGCTACGGTAGTTTCCTGTTTGTTCCTTCCCAGACTAAAGGGTTCGCTGTGCCGCTGGTCCTAGTCTGTCCCCGTAGCGTCACCAGCGCAGGCTCCAGATTAGCCTTAAGGAAAAAATAACTTGGTGGGAAAAATGCTTTCTGGGTGGGCCTGGAGAGCCTTTGGCTGGTGTAAATGATGACTTGACTTTTTTTCCCCATCAGATCGACCATGTTGATCACTGAGAAAACTTGCCAGTTAGTCCTGATGCACCAGCGGCCTAAGGGTCCTTCCCCGGGTTCTGGCCGTGGGAAGATGGCGACTGTTGACTTTGTTTTGTAGATTGGCATGGTTAAGCGGTACAGGATGGATGTCAGAGGACGAGGGGGTCACCTCTGGACCGCCAGGAAAATCAGAAGACGTCTTAGATCTTCTCCGTCCTAACTTTTTAAGGTAAGCTTTTGTCTTAAGGCCTACTTGTAAGGAAACACGTGCTTTAAAAGGGCCTCCTAGTTGACTGAAATTGTGGAGTAAACTGAGAAACTTAATGGTGGTTAGGAATGGATGAACCCTTCGTGCAAGCTATGTGTTAAACACACTGAGCTACCCAAGGATACTGTAAAATATTTTATTTTTACTTTATGTGTCTGTATACTTACATACTGCATGTATGTAAGTGCATTGGTGTTGTTAAATGCCCACAAGTCAGAAGAGGGTGTTGGGGGTCCCCTAAAACTGGAGTTAAACCACCTTCCTTGTTGTTAGCTATCATGTGGGTGCTGGGAATTAAGCCCTGATCTTCTGCAAGGGCAGCTGCGGCACTCTTTTTAATCTTGAGACAGGGTCTCCCTGTAGTCCCAGCTGTCCTGGAACTCACTAGACCAGGCTGGCCTTGAACTCATATCCGTTTGCCTCCCGAATGCTGGGATTAGAGGCTTGCGTCACCACACCGGCTTAACCATATTTTTTTATTCCATTCCTTCATGTGTTTTTTGGTGTCTCTTACTTGGGTGGGTAATGTACTAACAGTTTCTTTGAAAACCACATTATTCTATGAACAGCCAGTCAAGTCACTTCCCAATTGCCAAGACTGAATGCGGGAGTATTATGCTTGGACCCTTGGGCTGAAGAGATGGCTTTACTTTTGCAAAGAATCTGGTTTTGACTAGGTTTTAAGATGTGCGCCACCCAGCAGAGGCAGGCAGATCTCTGAGATGAGGCCAGCTGGGGCTACAGGGAGAAAAAATCTGGTTTTGGTTCCCAGGTGACACATGGCTGTCTGTAACTCCAGCTCCTGGGAATCCAATACCCTCTTCTGGCACCTGAGTTCATGAATACATTCATCCTAAATTGTTGATAGGGTGTTTTCTTGCACTGAGTTTTTTGGCATATGTGTGAGATGTATAGTCGCACCTTTCTAGCACTGGCCCAATGATTGGACAGGGCCTCACTGTCCCTGGCTGACCTATAACTCTTGATTTACCTGCCTCCCGATTTCTGTAAATAAAGGTGGGCACCATCATGCCTAGCTTAGAGTTCTACAGTTCTGATCCTTAGTATTAGTTTGTGAGGATGGGGCTCTGGTTTGCCCTCTTGGACCTTCCTGCTGGCACGTGTGATGACAATTTCTTTCCCCATCAGATCGACCATGTTGATCTCACTTTCTCTTAAGCCAGTTTGTCTGACATGCCAGCTTAAGCAGAATCTGGGCTGCTACATCCTCTTGTTCATCAACTGATGTTAATCCTGCGTTTTATCTCAGGTTTGCTTCTGGCCACTACCAGACTTTGAATAGAGGAGGAATTCAGGAGTAGGAAGGAATGGGTAAGTGATTCCCATGGTCCCCAAGCTGACTGAAGGCTCTAATGCCCTCCAGTATGCACCCATGGTGCCAATGCAGCTGATGACATAACTTTTCCCCGTCAGATCGACAGTGTTGATCTAATGAACTAATAGCCAGTTTTGTCTGATGCATTGGTTTGAGAAATTCCTTGTTCTGGCCTTGCTGTTTTTGTTTGATCTAATTACTTTCTTCTGTAGGCCTGAATCCTGGGTGCCAGTCTAATCTTCCTTGGACTTGGTTGGTGTCGTCCTGCCACAGGTAAGGTTTCAACTTTCCAGCTATCAGAATGTTAAGACCTTGTTAAATGGGAATTTAAGTTCTTCACCAGGGCACTTATTTGGCCTCTTGATACTAACAGAATCTTTGCTACATGGGCCTTTTCAGTGCCTCGGCTTCATCATGCGACCTATTAGTCACTAGTTTCCCCCTCCCCTTTTTTTGGAGTTAGGATTTTAACTATGTAGCCCTGAATTTCTGCTGTCTGCTTGCTGAGTGTGGGAATTTTCCCAGCACCTAGGCCTGTTACCTGATAGAAGGAATTAAAGAATAGCACCAAGATTCGGCAAGAATTCCACACTAGGCATGACTGATTATAATCGACCATTTTTCTTTTAGGTGCCTCTGGCATATGGACAGGCCTTGGATAGCAACCATTTCCTGTGGAACCAGTTTCACAAGGCTTCATCCAAGGACTATACGTTGCCCATATTGAATTTGAAGGGTTTCTATCTAGGCTGGGGGTGTGTGATAAAGTTTGAGAATCCCTGAATTCAAAGCCCAGCACTGCTAGGATGCTGGGATTTTATCAAACCCTTCCTATCTGTAGAAATAAAGACTTTATTCCTTGTTCTGTGTCTTATATTTTTATTTGTTGGGCTTGGGTTTATCAGGGAGATCGATGGTAAAGGGCTAGCCTACGTAACTCACTATGTAGACCTGCCTGCCTCTGCCTCCCAAGCCCTAGGATTAAAGGGGTGCACCACCACAGCTGGCTAAAACTTGGAATTTTACGATCCTGACACCCACCCCAGGAATTGGGCTCAGTCCAAGCTGGTACCCTAGGAGCACCCAATTGGTTCCACCTTCAGGGTGGACAGCTCATTCCCTCGCATTGCCATTGGATCAAGCTGCCATCCAAATTTGGATGTCCCTTTAACATGTCTTCCGTGTAGCCAGTGCAGTCTGTAAGTCTCATTACTGTCCCTGCCTGGAAGTCCATCCCCCACCACCTAACAACTAGTGCATGTTGGGCCTGTACCACATCCCTTATCTCCCAAGTGTTTGCTCAGATAACCATTTCCTCTGGGAACAACCCTGCCACTTTACCTCACCTATTGCCTAATCCTGCCATGTATAGACAGTATGTACAATCTACTGTGTACAGCATCTGCCACCTCCACAGTCCAGAGCTTTCAGGTGCTAGACAAGAAAATCATTCTTGGCCTAATTGCAGGGCCATGTTGAGCACTTGCCTGGCACACTGGTCTCAGCACTCTGTGCCAGCATACTTCCCACTGCAGCTGAGATGATGCCCTGAGCTGATTTTCCAGATCTGGGACAATTAGGGCACAACCTAAGCACTTTTGTCTGTCTCCAACTTGGGGTCTCTACACTGGGAGCACTTACTGCCTCTTGTGAGCAGGACCTGGAGGCTCCTGGAAAGGAAATATTTTTGAGGGATCATCTGGATTGGATTGGTCTGTGGGCATGCCAATGTGAGATTTTCTTAATTGGGTTAATTGAAGTGGGATGACTCAACTGGAGTTTGGGTGACACGGTTTATGGGCTGAGCCCTGTACTGAATGAGGAGAGCCGAACATGTAATGTGACCAACCAGCTGCTCCAACCTCCACCATGATGCCTTGACTTACATTAAACTGTAAACTTAAGTTGCTTTTGTTTATGTGTTTAATCCCGGAAACAGGAAAAGAAGCTAAAACATCTCCTAGATTCTAGGGTATTTCCTTGAACACAGTAGGTGTTCAATAAAACAAAATACAATTTTTTTGAAAGCACTCAAACGGGCAGCCTGAAGATGCATTTTGGTATCTGTGGAGTGCTTTCCCATTCTGTGGATCAAACCTAGAGTCTCACGCATGCTAAGCAAGCACTCCAGCCATCCCCATCCCACCCTAAACCCCCAAGATTTGTCTTGCTTGCTTGCTTTGGTTGTGCAACACTAGGGTCTTGCTATGTAGCCCAGGCTAACCTCCAATTCATAATCCTCCTGCCTCAGCTTCCTGAGTGCTGGGATTTCAGGCGTGTGCTACTAAAGCCCAGCCCGTTTTCTCAAAGAAAGAGTAAACAGTATCCTTCAGTTTCCTCTGAGGGTTGGTTTCAGGACCCTGTGGATACCAAATTCTAAAGGTGCTCAAATCTTATATACAGTGGTATGTGCATGTGCACGCATCCTCCAGTACACTATATTTTGGTAACCCTGGCTGGCTCAGAACTCAGTATGTAGATCAGGCTGGCATTGAACTCAAGTCTGCCTACTTTTGTGTCTCATATGCTGAGATTAAGGATGCATGCCTCCATGCCCTGCTCCCTTAGCACACATATCACCTCCAGATAAAACATCTCTGGAGAACTTCCCATGGCCCCCTGGAGAGACCAATCTACAGAAAAGAACATTCGTTGCTCTTATGGAAGACCCAATTTTAATTCCCAGCACCCACATTAGACAGCTCACAACTGGAGGATCTGACATCCTCTTCTGGCTTCTAAAGGCATTGCACACACAGGTACACTGACATTCATGCAGTTAAAACATACACTCATAAAATAAAAATAAAATTTAAAAAGTCAGGTACGGGGGCTGGAGAGATGGCTCAGCGGTTAAGAACACTGACTGTTCTTGCAGAAGACCCAGGTTTGAATCCCAGCACCCACATGGAAGCTAACTGTAACTCCAGTTCCAGGGAATCTGACAGCCTCTTCTATCTTCCATGGGCATTGCATGACATGGGTGCACTTATTACATGCAGGCATAACACTCATACACATAAAATAGCCAGGCGTGGCGGCACAGGCCTTTAATCCCAGCACTTGGGAGGCAGAGACAGGCAGATGTCTGTGAGTTCAAGGCCAGCCTGGTCTACATAGTGAGTTCCAGGCCAGCTGGAGCTACAGGGAGACCCTGTCTCAAAAAGACCAAAAAAAAAAAGAAAAAAAAAAATTTAGAGCTGGGCATGGCAGCACATGCTTTAATCCCAGCACTTGGGAGGCAGAGATAGGGAGATCTCTGTGAGTTCAAGGCCAGCTTGGTCTACATAGGAAGTGCCAGGCCATGTGGGGCTGCAGGAAGACCCTGTCTCAAAACAAAAAGACAAAATAAATAAAAATAAATGAATAAATATTTAAAAAAAATAATGATATGCATGTCATGTTAAATATGATGGTGCACGTCTCTAATCTCAGCACTCAGGGGACAGAGGCAGGTGGAGCTCTGTAAGATGAAGGCCAGCCTGGTCTACAACATAGCAAGTTCCAGGCTAGCTGGGGCTACAAAGGAGACCCTATGTCCAAAAAAAGAGAAAAAAAAAAATAAAAAAAGAGAAAAGATACTTTCATGTGGTGTAGTGGCACACACCTGCTGTAATCCCAGTACCTGGGGACAGAAGTTGTCCAGCCTGGTCTACATAGTGAGTTCCATGCCAGCCAGGACTACACAGTGAGACCCTGGTTCAAAACATGTAAGATCTGGAGCTGGAGAGATGGCGCAGAGGTTAAGAACACTAGTTGTTCTTGCAGAAGACCTGGGCTCGAATCCCAGCACCCACATGGCAGCTAACAACTGTCCATAACTCCAGTTCCAGGGGATCTGATGGCCTTTTCTGTCCTCCAAGGGCATCGCACGACACAGGTGCACTTACCTACATGCAGGCAATACACACATACACATAAAATAAATATAATAAAAATATTTTTTTTTAAAAACACGCAAGATCCTTTCTTTTGTGTGGATGGAATCTAGCTAGGGAGAGTCAACTGTCTTCACAGAATCACCTCACAATACCAAAGCGCCCTCCTCATGCCAGGCTTTGTTCTAGGTTCTGGGGACACAACAGCGAAAAGCACACAGTGATGCCTGCTGAGGTGGGAGATGACATCGGTGGTGGAGGGAGAGACAGTAGAAAACAGCACAATGGGAGAGGGACAAGGTCTGGGCATGAAAGTGACTTGAGCTGAAGGAGGTCAGGGGAGCTGTGTGGAAACCAAGGGGTGGAGCATTCAGCAAGTGTCAACACTAAGGCTGGAAGGTAAAAATGTGCCTGGTGTGTATTGTGTCCAGGGGCTAAGAAGAAGACCAATATGGCTTTGAAAAATGGGAAGGGGACTGGAGATAAAGCTCAGTTGGTGGAGCACTTACTTAGCAAGCACCAGGCCCTGGGTTCTATCCCCAGCACCATGGTGGCACATGTCTGTAACCCTAGCATTCAAGAGGTGGAGGCAGGAGGATTAGGAGTTCAAGGTGATCTTCAGCTACAAATATAATGCTTAAAAACATTCATTATATTACTTAAATTGTGTATGAAGTATTTTACCTGCATGTAAGTGCATCACATGCCTGCAATGCCTGTAGAAGCCAGAAGAGGGCACTGGCTTTCCTGGAACTAGGGTTCTGAATAGTCTTCAGCTGCCATGTGGGTGCTGGGAACCAAACCCAGATCCTCTGCAAGAGCAACCAGTGCTCTTAACCACTGAGCCATCTCTCCAGCTCCCAAATGTAATGCTTTGATCTAATTTATCTCTTTGTCCTCTTAGCTGAAGGATTTTGGGCAAATTTTTGAACCTTTATTTGCCTTCGTTTCCTTGTCTGAAAAATGCCTACTTCAGAGAGTCGTGAAATCTTGTCTGTATATGCTGAGTCTGCAGCCTGGCGTGTCGTAGAGACACAGCAAATAAACGTATCTTTCTGCTATGCCAGATGGAGAAGGTCTGTGTTTGGAAAATAGCAGAATAACAAATGTGCATCTTGTTCACTCGGTTCATCTGTGCACGTTCCCCAGGCCTGCCGTCACAGCAGACTTTACATGTTTTATTATATTATGTACTGTGTGTGTGTGTGTCCATGTACATGTGTGGGTATACACACACTACAGTGTGTAAGTCAGAGGACAACCTGTGATTGTTGGTTCTCTCCTTCCGCCCTATGGGTCCTAGCGATTGAACTCAGGTCGTCAGACTTGGAGCAAGTGCCTTTTCCTGCTGAGCCACCTCATTCGCCCTGTGATCAGATTTTATAGACTGAAAAACAGAAGTTCACACATTTGAGTTTGAATTCCAACTCAGCCATGTGTCTTGGGCAAGTGATACACCTTTCTCTGAGCCTTATTTCTTCTTTTGAAGAATAAAGCTTACTTGGGGCTGGAGAGAGATGGCTCAGCAGTTAAGAGCACTGGCTGCTCTTGCAGAGGACCCGGGTTCGATTCCCATCACCCACATGACAACTCATAACCTTTCATAACTCCTGTTCTAGGGAATCCGATGCCTTCTTCTGACCTCCACAGACATTGCGTAGGTGCACTTACATACATGCAGGCAGTATACGGAAACACACAAAATAAAAATAATAAATAGGGGCTGGAGAGATGGCTCAGCGGTTAAGAACACTGGTTGTTCTTGCAGAAGACCTGGGTTCAAATCCCAGCACCCATATGGCAGCTAACAACTGTTCCAGGGGATCCAGCAGCCTCTTCTGTCCTCCGTGGGCATTGCATGACACGGGTGCACCCGTTAGTCACCATGTGGGTGCTGGAAATTGAACTTGGGTCCTCTGTAAGCGCATCTAGTGCTCTTAACCGCTGAGCCATCTCTCTAGCTCTATCTTGTTTTTTGTTTTTGGT